TTTATTATTATATATCTTAACTGATTTTTTAATCTAATTAGCCAAACAAATTTTATTTTATTTAACTGACTTTTTTTAAAAAAAATCTAAACATAAATCATGTTATAATTATAGATTTTTTTAATCCCAATTAACTAATCTCAGTTGATTTTTAATTTCAGTTGAAATTTTTTTAATCCAAACACATGCTGAATCAAGAAGAGTGAAACTATGAATAAAAACTTCACTTTGAAACATCGAGTCAGACCTTCGCTTTCTCTATAACAACAATATGAAGCTTCTGAGTTCAGAGAGTTGAGCACGACAGCTCCTTCCTTCCTCCACACCAATCTAAAGGCTGAAGCTTTGAAGTTCACATTACTGTTCGCATGCTCTTGAGTCTTCACACTCGCCAATTAGAATTGATTTTTGTTGTTTGCTTCTTATTTTTGCCTCTATCTGCTTTATTCTGGGTTGCGTTTGTGTTGGTGTATGCTTCTTATTCTGGTTCACATTCTTCTTATTTTGGTCAGCATTTCTTATTTTTAATTGATTTGTGCTGTGAGTTCTGTCTTGAATCTTCTGGAATGATTAAACGATTGAAACTTTGGGTGTTGAAATTTTGGCTCTGTATGACGATATCCATGCTCAATTGTTTTCTCAACATATCAAGCCAAATATGTTTGGTTTCTCATTACCACAGCCAAACTGTAATAGCCATGACTCGTTAAAATGTTGGAGGCTTGAGTTTCACCATTTAAGGGATCGAAATAAAAAATATTGAAAGTCAATGTTATAAAACCATAGTTAAACCATAATTATCGATCATGTTTGGATTGAGGCAAACATCATAAGCCATGATTTTGAATAAATTTTAAATTTCTTGATTTGATATTCATTTCTCCGTGAGGTACATACTTTGAAAGTTCACCCTTCGTCCTTCACTCATAATGCCACGTTGCTACAATGTTTCTTCGGCTTTAACAGTGGCAGGAAAGCCACGTTGAAAAAAAAAGTAATTTATCTACTAAACCAAGTTATAGTTGACTCTAATATAATCCAACGATGTTCAAGGGAGATAACTAAAACCAACTAACCTTAACCTTCAAACCCAAACTATGGATCCAATGATTGCACTTAGTAGGACACTCAGTCTCCTTTTTTTTTAAGGGTTTGAGAAAATCATTATTGAATCCCACAGAAGAATTCTAATTACTTAAATGGCTCATAAAATGAAGAAACTAATTTGAAATCCTAAGGAACTTTGGTGTAAATACGTTTTGTTGCCTAATTACTAGATTGACAGTTGAATCTTCTCCTCCTCCTGGCTTTTATCAAAATCAAACAAGCAAGTGGGGTAAAGATTACAGTATTGATAGAGGATACACAAATGCCATGAAAATGGTTTGAGTGTAGGTTAGGTACTCACCAACCACCTAGGCTCTAACTCCTATTCTCATTGCCTAAATTTACCTTTCCAAGCAATTTTAAAAGTTCGAGCATTTGTGTTTATCAGCCCCCAAACTGAAATGGGAAAGGCTCAAGTATTCACATTGTTGATCATTGGAGATTCAAATAAAAAATTTAGGGTTCTCTCATTCAACGTGTACCAAAAGCATACGGCTTCATGAATCCAGCTTTCAGTATTCATTAAGGAGATGACACCACGATACTCATTACCCTTGATGAAATATAGACAATTCAAATTTAATTGCATGATCTTAATTTAAAGTTTTTATTTTTATTTTATATTTATTAAAATAAATATTTATAAAAATTGTAAAACATTTAATAAATTTGGTTTATAATTGTTTATAACCAATTGGATTTAATTTAAAAGGTTCAAATTTAATATCAATTTTTTTTATAATTTTTATAAATTAAATATCCAGATTTATATTGAAAAATTCAAGTTTAAAATTTTTAACCTTTAAAATTTTTAAAATTATTTTTTAAAAAAGTTCTAATCAAGAGATCATCTTTATTTTTAATATTGTATTTATTAAAATAAAAATTTAAAAAATTAATATTAAATACGGATTTACTGAGCATGATTGAGTTGTCAATTTATAAAAAATATAATTTTTTAATATTATTGAACCATTTAGATTAAATTTAAACCCCCCAAATTGGTGATCAATAGCTTTATCAATAATTACGATAATTTTTAAACTAATTTATAAATATAAAAATTAAAAATAAAAGCTTTAAATCTTGACCGAGTCTTGATGAGCATTGGGAACATTTTCTTTCAATCTCATATATTGGATTTTCAGTCCCAAAAAAAAAAAAAAAAAACTCATGCCTACCTGAACCAGCACACGCTCCTTCCATTATCTAATCTCCTCCCGAGACACCGTTTGTCGGAGACGGGAACCACGACATTTTTGGCGGAAACAAGGATGGAGATTGGAGAGAGTTTCAAATATGGAATAGGAAAATTTAGAGGGCAATCTAGTAATCAGGCAATAAAATTTATTTACCCCAAAGTTTCTTGGGACAACAAAATTAATTTCTTCATTCCCTGAGACTTTTGAGTAATTAGAATGCTTTTGTGGACCTCAATAATGATTTCCCGATTTTTTTTTTTCTGAGCTAAAATTCACGAGACAAATATGGCAAATAAATAAGGGAGAATTGTAGCCCCAAAAGTAAGAAATTTGCACAAAGCTCAATTAAATATGAAGTTATTTTAAGAGCTTAAAGACCTCATTTCATTTGTAATTATATTTTTCAGTGTAATGACTCGTTTACCCCTCCCATCAGTTCTACTTTTTGAGACTCTCCTTCATCCTGATCTCTACCCTCTCTTCTTCCTGAAAAAAACCACCCCATTTTAAAAGTCGAATTCCAGTTTCCTCCATGGTTTTCTGCGGAATCAAGGAGATTGATTTCGAAAATCCTTGTGGCTGACCCAGACAGACAAGATCCAGCAATAATGCAAGTCCCATGGTTTCTTAAAGGTTTCTAGAAGCCATTTGCTTTTCAACCAGAGGAACCCGTTTTGTGGAGCGCCGATGATAAAGGGCCATAGAAATCAAAACTCGCAAACCCAAAAATGAAACCTTCACGGCCCAAGTTTTTCAACGCATTTGAGTTCATCCCATCCATGTCTTATGAGTTCGATATGTCCAGGATGTTCGAGAGCAAGAGGAAAACATGGTCGATGTTCACATCCAAATACTCGGCCATGGCAATCGTATCAAAGATTAAGGCAGTGACGAGAAAGTCTGAATTTCAAGATGGGGAATGAGGAGGGTTTCAAAATCAAGCTGCAAGGGCGGTTGGAGGGGAGAAAAGGGAGCTGCCTGTGATAACAGAGGCATTCGATGTGGCAACAGAAGGGAGAAAATTGAGGTGTTCCGATGAGTTTTGCCTGCAAATTTCTTACTTCTGTTTTAGGTTTGTACTTTTTTTTGGGGCCTAAAATAACGAAGAATAAAAATATAGAAATTTAAAATATTAAAAAATGTAAGAATTAACGGCAATTGAATACAGTATTGAAAGAGAATCCAGTCGAATATAACTGACCAAGGAAGACGAGTATAAAATAAAATCGAATCAATTGAATACGGGGCAAAAATTGTAACTTCCCGTAAATTTAATGGTTGACCATCTTTTACCCGTTGATTTGACGACCAAGACAGCGTACAAAATCTCCCGCTCTCTCACAGCGGAAAAAACCTGCGTTTCCGTTGCACTGTGGAGTTTTATTATATTGGGTGCAACACTCAGTCCTGTGCTCGGAGTTGCAAGATTTCACACAACACACCCGGTAATTCCTGTTGCTGTTCTCATTGTTATTTTCGTTGTATGCTCCGTCTTGTTTTCTGTTCATGGGTTCTCGCCGAGCTTACCGATTGCAACGTTTTTTTTTTCAGAGAAATCTTAAATAGACTAAATCCATCACATTATTTATAATCTATTCAGTAAAAATATAATAATTAAATAATATTAAAATAAATTAATTTTAATATTAATAATAAAGAGAGAGAAAAGATAAAAAATTAAATTTACATTATAATATGAAGATTCAATAAATTAAAAAAAGTATTATACAATATTTTATTCATATTATTTAGAGTATTTTAATTAAATATATTATAAAAATGATGTACCTAACCTATCTAAATACTTTTTTTAATACTCATATTTTTCGTGGTCCTTTTTGGCCAACATATTAGGTCTTGTACTCTTGTATTTGTTTTAATTTTCAATATTTTTTAAAAATTAAATAGTATTAAAGAAGATGATACAAGCATAATTATCAAAAAAATGAAATTAGGATTACAAAAAAATATAAGAAAATTATGTTGAAATACTATATAAAGAAGTTAATTATGAAAAATTTTATTAATAATTGATATAAATTTATGTTTGTTGTTAATAAATTTTATAATAATTAATTTTTTTACATAAGACTGATATGTAATTATCCCAAAAAAATAGCGGGTTTGAACAAAGAAGTGGAGGTTTGGTAATTGGTTTTTGATTTTTGAACACGAATCCTGGAGTCTGATGAAAGAGAAAAAGAATCAACATATTTGATTTTTGAAGAATAAAGGAGGGTTTTAAAAGTCAAGCTTCCGGTGTCCGGTTAAAGAGGAAACCAGTGGGACCCGCCCACCGAGCGCTCTCAGTCCCTGAACTCGCCATTCCGCATTAAAAGAAGTTAAAGGTCAACTCTGCCTCACTGTCCCCAACTGACATTTTCCCTTCTCTTTCTCCAACGGCTACTTCCTTGCTTTTGACCTTATCTCCATTCCCTGCCCTTCGTCAGTCGGTTCCGTTTGTCGTCTACAGTTTTTACCCCTTAACCCGGACCCACGTTTATTAGACGGTCAATTCTCTGTCAGTTTCTGCCACGTGTACCTCTTTCATTCGTCATGGCTTTGACCGGCCCCTCTCTTCTCAGCTACTCTCCATTGACAACGCATCCCCCTTGACTCCAAACCGCCTTCCCTCTCCAAACTTTCTCAATGCTCTTCCTCTTTTTTAATTTTTAATTTTTGTTCTTTTTCCCTCTCCCTCCCTTTCCTCTTTTTTCTTTCCTCCTCAATCATTTCTCTTGCTTCGTAAGTAATAAAAGATTCAACCCATGATTATTCCCCGACGACTTTCTCCTCCTCTACAACCATCTAGCCATTGAAAGAAGTAAAAGGGTCAGTTCGAGTGAAAAGAAAAGGAAAAAAAAAAAAGCTTGCGAGTTTGGTTTTGCTTCTGCCCTTCATGCTCTTGGATTAATGGCTGTGGAGCTTATATCGGGTTGCGGGGATGTTAGTTTTGCAGGCAGGACGGAACTAGACGACACAATCGCGGTGCAGGAAGCTACGGCCGCGGGCATTCACAGCGTCAAGAAGCTCATGACAATAATTTCTCAGCAACGACAGAGCCGGGACGAGGAGGCTTCTAGCTCCCGAGGGCCTTCGGAATTGGAAGCTCTGGCAGATACGGCAATGAACAAGTTCAAAAGGGTCATCTCTCTGTTGGACAGGCCGAGAATTGGCCACGCTCGTTTCAGAAAAGCTCCTGCAACACAGGCTTCGATCCCTCTTCTCCCGCTGCGGCAGACGCCGGATTCCGAAACCGGACTGCCTCCTGTTACAGAACGCCAGCAGAACAGAACAGAACAACCCTCTGCTTTCAAGGTCTATTGCCCTACACCGGTTTTACGTCTCCCGCCTCTGCCTCACCAGGCGCACCAGCCTCCCCCCTTCCATCGGCCAGAGAAGAAGGAGGCGAACGGCAGTGTTCAATTTTCGGTGTCGCCGCCTGTTTCCGCCGCCAATTCGTATATGTCTGCGTTAACAGGGGATACTGATAGTGTGCAACGCTCTTGTCATTCTTCGGGGTTCCAAATCATTCACAGTCAGAGATCGCAGCAGGGATCCTACCTGGGCAAACCACCTTTGTGTTCGAGTTCTTTAAAGAGGAAATGCAATTCAATGGACGATGCCGGTCTCAAGTGTGGATCATCCTCTGGTCGCTGCCATTGCTCTAAGAAAAGGTATAGGCGTAGAACCACCTTCTCAAGGATCGATTTTTTGCATTTTTGATTCTTAGAATAAAACTAGGATGGCAGTCCCATCGCGTTTGTTACAATTTGTTATGTTAATCTGGTTTATTATTATCCGAGGCATATACATAAGCCAGATTCAATGGATGCAGGAAATCAAAGATAAGAAGAGTAATAAGAGTACCAGCAATCAGCTCGAAGTTGGCTGACATTCCGGCTGATGAATATTCGTGGAGAAAATATGGACAGAAGCCTATCAAGGGTTCTCCTCACCCCAGGTATATATATATATATATATATATGTTGTGTCCAGTGTTATTATCAGTGTTGGGTTCGCAAGTTTCAGTGGTGGCACATGGGGTTTTCTGAAATGTGTTGGGTGTTTGAACTTGGAAGGGGTTATTACAAGTGTAGCAGCGTGAGAGGCTGCCCGGCACGCAAACACGTGGAGCGTGCTATGGACGATCCTACCATGCTCATTGTCACCTACGAAGCTGATCATAATCACTCGATTGAGGTTGCAGCCGCCGCCGTCCTCGAGTCATCCTAGCTCTCTTATCTGATCCATCAACTTTCATGAGTTTTGCACTACCTGTACTTAGTACCTTTATGTAATATTCGTCCTTTTCTTTTCTTTGGGTTAATCAGTGGCCTGTATATCTTCTTTTTCCTTTTGCATTAGTTTCTCCAGAATTGCATTCTTTTGGACTGGATTTCCAGAATTGCATTACTATAAGGTATAAACAGTACAGGTGGGTTTAACTTTAATACAGTCAAATACACAATTTGATCACCATTTTGTTTCCTTGCCATCACGATTCATGAACTATAATAATGCGTCCTTAATTTCACTTTGAAGGATAGATTTTCCATTCCCCCCCCCCCAAAAAAGGACGGTTTTTGATCCGAAAGAGAGAAAGAAAGAAAGAACAACGTTGCCACCTTGTTTAGATGGATCATAGAATAATTAAGGAAAAGGAATAGGCGAGGGAAGCAGCGCCGGATATGGATATAGGTGTGATAGTGTTTCGAAATAGGGGTGTTGGTTACATTTTTTATTTTTCCAGAGTAAAAAGGAATGAATGCATGCGGACAACAAATGTTGGGAATGGATTGGTTTGAAGAGTACGTTTCGTGGACTGTACGTTAGAGAATGGACGAAGAGGGAAGGAATGGTTGCGTTTTAGAATATATGTTGACAGCTTAACGAGTGGGGTTTGTTGACTTTAGATGCCTAAAGCGACACACGTTGGCAAGCAAGCGCAATAATCAAGTACGCTTGAAAGAGTTGAAACGTTGTTACGGTGCTTCCTTCGCTCTAATTTGATTGATTTCTCGAGTCTATCAATGATGTCCATATCGCTCCTTCATTACTGTAATTGTCCACCAAACACCATCACTCCATGGTCGCAACTAGAGGGTGGAGCTGAAATTTGATTGCGAGGAGAGGTTAAAAAAATCCTAACACCTCTATGGTATGAGGAAGAATTGAAGATTTAGGAAGGGCTATAACCCCTGCTCTAAAATTGATGAAGGTTGAAAGGTATATGCATGCAGACATGTATTTGTGTATTGAAAAATAGAAGTTTAGGTGGGTATTGTCTGTCCATGTCAGTAGTATGCATGAAGAGATATGTATTTTTGCGTATTCCTCTAAAACTGCATTTATTTATTTTCTTGACATTGAAGGGTATCCAGTTTTTTGTTTAATTAATGAAAGTATTGTCTTTCAAGAGCATGAATATGCTAGGTTGGCCCAAAAAAAAAACCTCGAATACGGTAAAACAAGCGTGGAACTGTGAATATTAAAAAAATATATTTCCATTCCAATCACAGGGGGAGGTTATTTTCAGCCACGCTGCTGTCAGAATTTGGTGACTATAGGGATCCAGCTTTAATTTATAACACATTATTTTTGCGACGATGTCTTTGTACATGGTGATAATATCTCAAAGGAGATTAAGATTTTTTTTTAATTTTCAAAGGTTCTAGATTTATAATTTATATAACACAAAATCACCCACTAAGTCGTAAATATTTATCATTAAAATAGTGTAAAATTATAAGTTGAAGGATATTTACCGTTGAAACCGGACAAACTTACAAATAGAATTATGATTATTTACTATTAAAAATCTTAAAAAATAAATAAATTTTGGATTTGCTTTTCAGAAATAATTTTTTCCCTTGAATATTACATGCACAAGGTTAAAATAACCTCAACGGTTGCGGCGCGTTAAGATATTTAAAAAAAATTTCTTGAGAGGCTTTAAAATCAATATATATAAAATAAAATTATTATTAAATGTATATTTAATTATATTTTGGTGTTAAGAGTTACAATGAAAATACAGTGTCTAATTTCAACTTTAAACTTCATGGCAGATTTTTTTTTTTTTGGGGGTTCAACTTCATGGCAGTATTTAATTTCATGCATCATGAGAACATTTTAAAGACCAATCTTCCCTCGAACTTCAGTGGGTTGATAGAAACTAGTAGCTAATTAGGCCCGGTATCTTCTTTGGGTTCTTCACAAATCCCTAAGCCATTCAATAATACAATACAGCAACCTAGACACTGCAGGCTGAGAGATTCAATTGGAGAGAACAGGCTAATCAAATCCGGCCATGAACCTAACCTACTAACTCAGCATCATGTTTCCCTTTAACGAACACTTGAACAGAAATTATTTGATTGATGTGATGGGTTGTTTGGTTGCCTTTTCATTTGATGATTTTTTTTCAAGGTGTATTGAACGAACCATTTTAGCACGTAAAACCATAATCTTTATTGTGTTTTTACCTTTGTACATAAACAATTAAAAAGGCTAATCGAAATTACCTAACCCCCTCGCATAATTCACTAGTTTCCCATCGTCTGTTATCATCTTTTTGTATCAAATAGTAAATTCATGTTATTGCTTTCAGCTATGTGGACATTAGTAAATTCGCTCCCTCATTTTTATGCGATCCAATTTCATGCTTTTTCAACCAATTCTTTTCTTAATATTATTTTATAATATTTTTTTTGCAATTTAAAACTATTTTTATTTTATTATTTTAAAAATTTATATTTTATAAAACATGTTCTGAAAAAAAAATATTTTTTCATTCTTTTTTATTCTTTAAAATAATAATTACAGAATATCAAAAGTTATTTTTATTTTTTTATTCTCCACAATAATATTTATTTTTTTATTTTTTAAAAGTTTGTTATTAAACAAGCTTTTTATTTTAGAGAACAAAAATATGTTTTGAGAATAGGTTGCCAAATATGCTCATAAACTCTGAAGTGACGGATCATTATTTTGCTCCACTACTTGTTCTGAGAATATGTGGGTTTTAGCTTTTCTAAAATCTCGGCTCAGGTGCTGGTATCTTTTTTTGATTCTTTTTCAAGTGTTGGCATCTTAATAGGAATTGGTTTTGCACCAAAAACACTATCGTTTGACAGTGTTTTTTTATTTTTATTTTTTAAAGCACAAACTCATAATAATAATAAATAAATAAATATTATAAAATTATTATTTAATATTTAATAAATAAATAAATACTAAAATGTTAAAATTAAATTAGAGCAGTTTAAATAAAAATTTTAGTTTGAATAATTCATCATTATAATAAAAAAATAAAAAAATGATTCGAAGAATTTAAAATTGGGGTTGAGGTTATCAAAATAAGCTAGTTTCTCACATCATAACAAATCAATATTTGAATTTTTATTAACAAAAATATTTATATTTAATACCCGATTATGCTTTGAATAATATTATTTTCACGAATAGACAACTGTACAAAATTAATAAAATAAAAAAATAAAATATTTTTTGTTACAATTCTATTTTTTTTATTACAGTTCTAAATTATTCAGATCAAAATTTATATATAAATTGTTCAAGTCAAATTTTAATAAGTCAAACTATTCAAATTCAATTTTAACATTTTAATATTTATTTATTTATTAAATATTAAAATAATAATTTATAATATTTATTTATTATTATTATAATGAGTTTGCAGTTTAAAAAAAAAAAGCACTGCCAAAGGTGCTGAGCACCACGATGTTCATCCTAAGATGAGCATGAAACCGAGTCCCATCTTAGCATTGTAGATGATGATAAATGGTGAACTTACGTATTCGAGTTAGGAATCTAATATACAGTACATTCGAGGTAATTTGAAGACAGACCTACGCAAGAGCAAGTGGTACATTTATCCCAGTGAAAGTGACATTTTTGTAGGACGTGGAAAAAGAAAAAATTCACTTGGATCGATTATGGTGATGGTGATGCCCTATTTCCACTTTTTAAAGTGTGATGAGCGACATAATTGTTCACCAACCCAAAGCACGATTCGTTCTCTCCCTGAAAATTTTAGTATTCGTGATACTGCTTTCAGGTTGTTCTGTTCCGTCTCAGCCCATTCATTTTCTTTCCTTATAAACACTGAAGGCTTAGCTATAGAAAGTCATGCCCACTTCTTTCTTCCACCTCTTCTTGCCTTGGAAACTTTCATTTGGAAAGCACCTTTGAGGAGCAGATAAAGATGATCAGGGTTCCTCCAAAAATTGTAGTTTCAACTTTGTACATCCTTATACTGTCCCTTCCTGTCCAAACTCTAGCACATGTTGCTGACACAGATCCACTGGAATTCAACAGTGGCTACAGCAGCCAAGGTGGTGGAGGTGAGGTCTCCAGCAAAAGCTGCAAAAATGAATTCCACCCAATACCCTTCCCATCCCCATGTCAAACGTCAATAGGCACTGAAGCATCTCCAGTTTTACCTCTCCAAACAGATGGTCTGGTATTTGCAGATCAGAGACTTGAAGTTGTGTACCCGGTTATCCAAAAATTCAAATCCACCATCACCTCTGACCCCCTAGGCGTCATCAAATCGTGGGTAGGCTCAAATATTTGCAGCTATAAAGGTTTCTACTGTGATAATCCCCCGGACAACACATCAGCCATTGGTGTGGCCTCCATTGATTTCAATGGATTTCAACTTGGAGCTCCTACCCTCGACGGCTTCATTGATCAGCTTCCTGATATTGCTCTCTTCCATGCAAATTCCAACAATTTTAGAGGCACCATCTCCACTAAAATCTCCAAGCTTCCTTATCTTTACGAGCTTGATGTAAGCAACAATCTGCTGTCTGGTCCATTTCCCATGGCCGTCTTGGGCATGAACACCCTAACATTCTTGGACATTCGCTTCAACCTGTTCTCTGGGCAAGTCCCTCCCCAGATATTCACCCAGAATCTCGATGTCCTCTTCATCAACAACAACGACTTCACTCACAGCTTGCCTGATAACTTAGGCACCACTCATATTCTTTATCTCACCTTAGCCAACAACAAATTCATGGGTCCAATACCTAGAAGCCTCCCCAAAGCTCTGTCTACTCTCACCGAGGTATTATTCCTGAACAACCAGTTAACAGGTTGTATCCCATATGAGATTGGGTTTCTTGAGGAGGCCAGAGTGTTTGATGCTGGAAACAACCGGCTAACAGGTCCATTGCCCATGTCCTTGGGTTGCCTTGAGCAGTTGGAACTCCTCAATTTGGCTGATAATCTCCTGTATGGTATGGTACCAGAGGTGTTGTGCGGACTAGAGAATTTGGTCAATTTATCACTTTCAGATAATTATTTCACGCATGTAGGACCCCTGTGTAGGACCTTAATTCAGCGAGGGGTTCTTGATGTTAAGAACAATTGCATTCCTGATCTTCCATTCCAGAGATCAGTGATTGAGTGTGCAGATTTCTTTGTGTACCCCAGAATGTGTTCCCACATGTGGTTTCATAGTTTCATTCCTTGTAAGTTTCCTTTCCACAAGTCTTCAGCTTCTGCCATTCCTTAGATGGCTACTTATCCTTGACTTTCTTTGCTTCAATGTTAAGGCATGGACTGCAACATTTTATCATCTCCTTTTCCTTCGTGTGTAGTGAGTAATTATGCCAAGCACTTTACCGTCCTCCATTTTCCCTTCAATTATTTCTACTTTTCAAGACGCAAATGAAATTACTTGGAACTTATGCCATGATCGTGACCATTCTATGATGATGACAAGGAACGTGGTTACCAGGTCAACGGTGACTGTAACGATTTAATGAATGTGATATGGGCTATGTCCACGAATAATTTAGGAGAAAACAATATTATCATGATTGATTTGTGGTGCTCTTCAAATGGGTGCTCCAGCAAATCAAAGGTGACGAGTTCTACTGAAGAAAACTATTATTACTGGATCCACCGTTTTCCAAACCACTCTGTTCACATCGACAAATATTAATAGGATTTGTGTCATAAGAGAGAACACAACCTTAATGAGCAAAGGAGACTCAAATCGACGTGAGGAGTCTGGTCCCATATGTTGTAAAACTTTCCTCATTTTAGGTGGGGACCAATAGTGAATGGTCCCTTATTCGTGTATGGGAGAGTAACCTTTAGATATGAAAAAGTGAAGGAAAAAATTGCATTATCTCATGCATATCTAAAGCTGGGCAAGACAGTAGACACTATGTCATCTGGTGGTTCTTTCAAGGTTACTGAATTTTTATTTTTATATGTCCCGTACTCCTATCATTTTTGCAATATGCAAGAGGGACACTGATGACGGGTAAGGGAGGGGCATGCGTTACAGCTCAAAAAGAGCGTAACGAAGCATGATTCTTATTTATAATTAAGGATATGATGTTCGTTAAAGGAATAAAATCCAAGTCAGTAGGCACTGTTGGTGGTTTAAAATATCAAAGAACCTTGTGGAGGCCTTTCGGCTGTTAATAAAATATTATTATAACTAAAAACGTTACAAAATTCGAAGAGTGGATCATGCCACTGTTAGAGTTGACAATAAACTTGATTCACATTTGCAGAGGGGAAGCAATTATTTTATTTTATTTTCAATGTGGGCCGTTGGAAACTAAAGAAATTGATGAAAACAGGGACAGTGGGCTTGATCAAAGTGCAGCCGCCCAATCCATTGCAGTTATCTTATCCGTCGGGCACTTTTGAGCTTGTCGCACCTGTGGTAGGTCATGAGCGGCCACTTAAAATTTGAAACACATTGTGAAAATCGAATAACAAACTATAAAACAAACAAATCAAAACGTCTTTTAGATTGAAAGAATCTATAGTGACAGAGCTTTCTTTAATTTCTGTTTAGCCCAATTCGAATTCTAATTAATCAGTGTTCGTAAATATCAAGTGGTTTCTCTTTAAAAAAATTTTTGGAGGATGAAAGTACATCACTAATTATTATGTGATACAACGAAAATAAATTAGGTTCATCCGGCAGGCCTATTTAAGCCCTGAATTTGGCAGGGCTGGCCTTGGAATTTCGGGGTTAAAAAGAATATTTGGGTTCAGGGCCTAAGGCCAACTCTTTTAAGTCCCATTATTATTTTTAAAATTTTAAATAAAAATGTAAATTAATTAAATTATATTAATAATAAAGGATGCTGAAGGAAGATATAAAAAACTTAATATTTTTTCCATTAAAAAAGTACTAAGAGGAGAATGATTAAATTATATTAATATTAAGGTGATGACGACGACAATGATAAGCTTAATTCTTAATGATAATGTTGCTGTTAGAGCTGGGAATTCGAGTGAGTCTGACCCTTAAATTTAGTTTTTTATTTTTAGCCCTTTTTTTGAGGCTCAATCCTTATGTAAAGGGTTCAGGGCAAGGCCCGAAAGCCTTGTTCTAAAAAATTTAAAAATTAAAATAAAATTAAAAATTAAAAATTAATTAAAATATTTTGAAATTTAAAAAATTAAAATCCTCACAATCTTTTAAAAATTAAACAACATATTTAGAAATTTAAACAACATACATTCATCAATCAAAACTTAAATCCTCCTCATCTTTCACTATCTACAAGTACAACATTAGATTCCTCAGATGTAAGTGCACTTGTTAAAAATGAAAGTGAAAATTCAATGTCAATTATCATTACAATTTTTTCTTCATCACCTATAATAAATATTAATTAAATTGTATCATTATCAATCAAATATATGTATGTGTGTGTGTGTATAAGATAATTAGGCTTATCAAGGCTTGGAGGACTGCCTGAACCTAAGCCCTTTTTCACAGGGCTTAGCAAGACCAGGGCCTCAAGCCTGATTCCTTTAAAAAAAATTCAAAGCTCAAATCCTTATTCAAATAAGGCTTCCAAGCTTGAGCCTCCAAGCCCGACCCTTATTCACGGCTCTAATTGCTGTAAATGTTTAATTTTTAATGTGTTATTTGTATTATTAAGAGTTGTTATTGATTTCTTGTGGTTGTGAATTGATTTTGTTTTGTTATTAAGTTGTTTGTTTTTTTTCATATTTTATTTTGTGTGGAATATTTTTTGAATTATAAATGTGTTTTAAATTTTAAATTTAAAAAAAAATTCAGGACCAGCCCTTGGCCATTAGGGCTAAGGTTGGGCTTAAAAATTTTTAACCTTGAAGTATATTCTCAATCCTTTTTGAGCCTAGCCTTTTTAGCCATGGCTCTTCAAGGTCAAGGCTAGACTTAATTATCAAATCTAAAAGCATCCGTGAAAGAGGAAAAAATAAATAAAGAATATCAATGTAAAGCAAATATTTTTCAAGTAATGATTTAATTGAAAATAAACGTATTAATATATATATATATATATATATAAAAGACTTAGAATATAAGTTTTTTTTTTACATAAAATTTCACATTATCAATGTAGATCTAAAATGTCCTATATTGCGTATTGAGTTACAAGAGGCGCATCGAATGTAGCAAATTATGTTAATATGGTTTCGCCCACACTCGATATGTTTTAAAATATAACATATCAATGTAAAACAAATATTTTTCTTGTCATGATTTAATTAAAAATAAATACATTAAGTATGTAAGATTAAATATATATTTTTTTTAATAAAATTCTACATTATCAAAATAAATCTCAAATGTCCTAAATCTCGTTACAAGAGGTTTATCTTGAACGTAGCAAATTATGTTAATAGGGCTTTGCCCACACTCAACGTGTTAAAAAAATAATAATGACAACAACAACATATAGTACTGTGACTCGGGAGACGTGTAACCAACACTCGAGCTCATAAAGCCACAACGATCTGAAGTCCGAAGATCCTTTTTCTTCTTCTGGTCAGCATGAAAGTTAAATGAGAAAAGCCAGTCAATTCGACAGGGATGAACTGGGCTGTTTCGCCAGCCCAAATTTCAAAGGATGCAGTGAATTTCTATTTTTTGGGTGGGAGTGGGAGCGGGGTTGATATTCGAGAATAAATAAATAATAAATGCCACTTTTTACCCCAAAAAAATGCCACCAAGAATTTTACCCAAAAAAAGCCACTATAAGAAAATGTGCATGGGTAGAATAACTCTCAATAATATACATATATATAACAACTATAAATTCTTGACAGTTTACACACATGAAGACCCAACAATCGAAAAAACAGCTATAGAAGAATTCCCTACTGTTATGTAACAGAAACACTACAGTATACAAACTATCAACAAAATCAATAATGGACTCGAACACAACGAGACAACAACAAATTACAATTACAACAAGGAATATAAGAGTAAAAGACCCGTAGTACACATTTCCAAGAATTGATGAATAATTTTTTCCCTTTCTCTACTCATGTTGGAATGAACAGAGTATTTATGCCAAAAAAAAAAAAAAAAAAACTTGTCCAGCAAGCCCCCGTCTCCTCCTACTCAGGCAATTATTTGGGTTACCGCTGGCAACATCGCAACAAACCTCACGAGATGCTCCACTACCAGTAATTATGTGCAAGTTTCCAAGATTCGGATAGCATTATCCAATACTATAGGTATGTATGGTGAGCGGCTACTAAAATTAGTATGTTACACTGCAGCACGAAAAGGTTGGTGTCAGTCAGATCAATGCTTCTTTCTTACCAAGACCAAAAATGTTTCTGGATGGTTGTCATTAAGTAAAATATGATTCATTAGCTGAAAATTGAATGAAAAAGTACTATGGGTCTTTCCAGGGTCCTTATTCAACATAAATTGCACTTTTCAAGAAAAGAAATAAAACATTAAGAGTAGTCTAGGGCTTCAAGTACTAAAAAAATCCAGAGATCGCTACATGTACCTAATGTTGTGCTCTTTCCAAAGTCCTGTGTCTATGATCACTCTCGTTGGTCCAAAAATGAATACTAGGTGACAGTTGTTCGGTGATCGTATATGCTCATGGTTCATAGGGGACGTGGCAAGGCCTGTGGCCGTGGCCTTGCTCTCATAATTGTCTCATCACTGTGGCGAATCCATTCTGAAAGCCTCCAGGGCTTTTGCCACTTCCACTTGAATTGTACTAACCATTGGTGGTGACTTCTTTTCCACCTCCACAACTTCCCTGAAGCTTGTCCTACAAATGCTAGTTTTTTCATTGATAGTTGCCTCATGGGTACCATCTGCATTGACAGCAAACCTAACGTCCTTTTCCTCCTGGTAAAAGAGGCACGTCCAAAATTATTGTAAACAAAAATAAAAATCTTACCTTTCTACTCTGATCTATAAATGCTGCGGATTCCCCTGCGAGGCCATTAACGACTCCTGGGGTATACTTGAGCTGTTTTGGTACTGGCACAGACACCGGAGATAACGATCCATTCATATCTTCAACGTAGTGTTTCACTGAATTTGGTGAGTTCCCCTGTTGAAATCAAATAATGGTGAGATAACCACTAAAAATCAAAGAAATACATTGATGACAACAACAACGATTTACAAAGATAAGAGAATGCCAAAAATTCAATTTTCACAACAACCATAAATATTGTGACAGCTACAAGGGCAACATGACACAATTGAGAATTACCGGGGGGAAGAAAAACTAATTGCAGGAGATAGTCATGACAAACAATCTCCACAGGCTACTACAACTTTCTCAGGAATCTACAAATTTTTATAATGTCGAGTAATGGTAACCTAATTGCAATAAATTACTCCCGTATGCTTCAAACTTACATAGGACGCTTGATAGGTAACACCACTGTCAAATTCATTTAAATTCAAGCTTTTATATGTCATGCTAAATTCATGCCAAGTTGTAAAGGATGAAAATTGTAATATGAAGCTTTGAGAAAATAAACTGGACCAAGAAAAATGCAATCTTACAGAAGCTGGTGTAGCCAATGTGGTTGCAAGCGCTTGATCTCTCAATTTCAGCTCCTTCTCAGTTTCCTTTCGCTTCATCTCACTCTGCCGTAATAGGCCTACAAGTTCTTTAATTTGTTCTTTCATTTCCCTGATCTCCATATCTCTCTCCCACAGTTGGCATCTGCAGAAAAATGGAAACTTGAACTTCAAAAACATATACCAATATACCATTATAAACCACTCGACTAAATATACCAATATAACAATGAGTGCATGTCATAATTTGATATGAATAATGTACTCCACTTTTATCATTGAACAAGCGTTTTTGTTCCCATTCATCAAGCAGATGACTAAATAAGCTTATTCTATCAGCAAGAATGAGTAAGATCTGAAAACTAGTCCTTGTTGGCTCTTCTCATTTGTATTGGTCAACAAGTCATACGTCAAAGGATAAATAAATATTCAGATCTCCAGGGAAAATAGGTCATTCAAAGCAATCAAGAATTGAAAATAATTCTCTTTTTTGCTAATTACTGATTGAATTCTTTTATCTTCATTCTAGTAAGGAACAATGTTGAGACATCTAACACGCATCTTCCATCTAAAACAGTGGGTGTTCAGGAGCAATATCAAAGAACAACCACGACAAAGCCAGATAGAGATATCTAACTCAGAAAACTGTGAACAGCCTATACACATTCGCATCTTGGAGTCATTCCCCTCTCTATCTCAACATATCTCAATTCATTATATTGAAAAGAAAGAATGAAAGAATCTGTTTTCTAATATTGTGGATACTATGCAGAACTTCCTATCTAGGCATGAGCAAGTAACATAAAAATCTATTCACAGTTTCAGATACACCTGATGTCAAACATGCAATCTGTGGATGCTGGGATGAAGAATTTAATTAATGGTAAAAAAAAAAAGCACCTAGCATCTGCAACAGAATTGAACATATATTGAAGCAAATTCTTGGCTTCTCCCATTGAGCGCAGTTGGTTCCAGCGTCCGCGATTAGTAAAAGCTCGTTCTCTTTCTTCTGCTTCAGAAAGTTGAGAAGCCATTGCCACTAGTGAATTAGATGATATGCTCAGCATGTTCTCCAGCGAAGCTATTCTAGCCATTCTTGCATTTGGTGACATGGAGGATGCTCTGAGAAATGAGACATTATTAAAATCAAACATAAAGAGGCATGTTCTCCTTTTAATTTGGTATCATGTAAAGAACACAGCACAATTGGAAGGTAGGGAGTGAGGTAAGTAGGCATAAACAAATCAAATCAAATCATACCTAGCAAAACCATTCTTTCCTCTTGGAGGAGTGAGGCCCTTTGCAGCAAATTCATTCACTTGCTTCAGTATGGCTAACTCTTCAGCAAGAGCAGCTCGCCTGAAGATTATACCATAATAATTAAAGACTAGACCAGATCAGCCAGTATGAATATCATGGATAAAAATGTTTTACTTACACTTGGCTCTGCTTCTCATACTCAAAACGGACTTCATGCTCTTTCACCATGACTTCTAGCTCATGATCAAGCCACCGTTGTAAGGACTTCTCATTGCTCTAATGACACAAGGAAACTTCAATTATTTTTTATCTCATAGACAGTAAAAGAAACCTAGAAGGAGGAAGAAAAGATCATTGCCTGTCCATTTGTTCCACTTCCGTTGATAATAGCTGGGAGATGAAATAAAAGAAAAAAAATCAAACAAAAGGGAAGATGTGTGTGTATAAGCATGTGTACAAACACAAGGCATTTCAAGATAATAACTAAATCATGCATCTTTTGTCTCAGCAGTAGTCTCTAAATCTCAGCCTATGTCCATTATCAACAGGGTCATACATGAAGTATCTCGGCTGGAAGATTTCCGAGCTTCTAACAACTCCTTTAGTCTCTTGGTGGCCATGGCAGCTTCTTCAGTCTTTCTTTGAAGGACCTGAAAGAAATATACATATTTATATATCTCATATCTGTAATGACAATCATAAAAGTCAACAATGAGAATGGGCTTTTCTTAACATTTTTTATTCTAGTCACAATCGTGCCAGATGCAAAAGAAACAGAACCATTCAGCACATTGGTTTAATTTTTTTTTAATAAAAATAATTTTTTTATAACCAGGCAAGAAACCATGATAATATACATATATATATATCTATTTATATGAATATCTGACATTTTCTGGAGGGAGATAGGCAATTTAATGCATGTATAAATAATTAATTATAAGTGAGCCTGGATATGACGATTTTAAGTTACAACTAAGTAGGAAAAAAAACTTATGAATGGTCCACGTATTTTTTTTTCCCTTTTTGAATATTTCATTTGCCAACAAAGCAGTTATCTGAAATTGTTTAGAGTTGATTATGACTCGTAATCTAGCCTTATTAATGTTTTGCTCACATCTGTCAATTGTTGCTTATAAATTGACTGAACTGACACCATCCCAACAATGGCTGAAATATCTTACCCAGTTTGGTCTGAAGTTGACTTATAACATTTAGTGCAGGCATGAATTAATGATTTCTATATGTTGTCTGTTCTTGCAAGTTTAAATTGAAGCTTTACAGTTTTTTCATTATAAAAACCTAGACAAGCATAAACCCCCACCGCCCCCCCCCCCAAAAAAAAAAAAAGAAAAAAAAGAAAAAAAGGGACAGGCTAGAAAGAAGGAATTCCAGCTGTTTCTTGATCTTAATATTTGTTCCTAATATAAGCAGAAAAATCCCAGTCCAGCAATTGATGAATAAATGATAATATCATCCAATTGATTTGAATAAAAACCTTTTTTAAAGTTCAGAATACAAACAACGTTCACATATTGCTGGAAATGGGACATTCTTGAAATACTGATAGAGTATCTGGTAAAAAAGATAACTGATATAAACACTTAAGAGGAGAAGGAATTGGCAGTAACATCAGTGGAGATCAAATAGGTAAGATACATAATGTTAACTTGCGACAGTGTGTAAGACAAAAAGAATAAGGGAAACTGTTCAGCAAATTAAACAACATCGAAATACTCACCATTTTCTGGCGCTGATTTAAAGCTTGTAGCTTATGTCTTTCATACTCATTTTTCCTTCCTTCCTTTCGTAACTGTTTTAGCCAAAAAAAAAAAAATAGTTACAAGGATTTTGCTAATATAATTAATATAATGGAGGGATGTAAAGTCCAGTTTCAGTTTATTCCACATCGAACATTATAATCAAAATGTGTACAGTCATGCTAAACAGTAGCACTGACAGAGAATGTAAATTGTAATTCCAAGTTCAAATTGACCATAAGCTGCAATGCTATTTCTTGAATTTTTGCTTATTTAAAGTATCACAAAAAAAAATGTTGTAAAAGAGGGGGAAAAAAAAAGTAACAGAGGAAGCTGGACATACTTGCAGGAGTTCTTTTTCTCTAGAAGCCTTCCACTGCCGAAATTGCTCTGCCTCTTGTTTAATCCTTTGTTGCAATTGAACCTGCAATGTCAATCAGGTTATAAGATCAAAAGTATCATGTCATTTCTACTCTAGTTATGAACAATACAATATTCAACCTTCTGGGCTTTTATAGATTGTATTTCGTCTTGCAGTCTCTTCGCTGCCTCATCACTTTTTTGCTTCTGCTTCATAAGCTGAACCTGGCTCTCTTGTTTCTTCTTCAGATCCAGAATCTGACATTCATGAATTTTGAAATGATTCTTGCAATTTCAAATCTCTGTCATTTAAGTTCCCAATGGAAAATTAAATCCAATAGAACTTGAAATTAAATTCTCCACCTGTGATTCAAGTGATTTCAATTTTTGGGCATGGACATCCTCTAATTTCTGTGTTTGTCCATCAGAATTAGCAGAAAGATTTTCAACCTCAGCTAATAGACGATCCCTTTCTTGCTACATTCAAAAATCAATTATACATATATATGAATACCAGTTCAATGACGAAGAAAAATAACTTTGCAGATATTCTATTGAACCTGGACAGCTCTCTTCTCATCCTCCAACTCCATTATTTTCCTTCCAAAGTGATGCTTGAGTACTTCAGCATCAGATGCTCCAAAAAGCTTCATTTCAGTCTGGACAATAATATCATGAATTACATTAGTATGAAAAAAAATACAGATGGTAGTTTTAAAAACATTCATGATATAATATTTTCTTTTTCTTAAAAACAATGGTAGAAAACCACTCATTGCTGCTATTATGAATTTATCATCTTGCAAAGGTGAAATCCCACGTGATGGAAAATATGCAAGATGAACCTTTGGAAGATTCACACATCAAAAGCTAGCTTATGAGGTTGGAGAGCCATGTAGCTTGTCCGTCCCATGCTGCATGAGAAAGGGAGGGAGGGAGGGAGGGAGGGGGAGAAAACGTAGATGGTAGAGGGAACTTTTGATACCATGTATATGAACTTCCAGTGGAAACAACCCCCCAAAAACTAGCTCATGAGATTGGAGAGCCCAATGTCCACAGAAAACCACTCATAATCCCAATGTGGGGCTCAAGTTCTAAACCTTACGATGGTCCATAATCTGATATAGGAATCAGATTGAAGAAAAATGAAATTAAAGCAGAAAAGATATCCATGACAAACATGATTTAGCAGAAATTGCACATGGTTGTATTGATTAAAATGTGTTTTGGTGTATAAAATGTGTATAATATGGCAGTATTAAAACTCAAGGATGCTGATCCTATATGCATTATAACAACCTCTTTCTGCTCCAAGCGTTTATTTAACTCGTGCAACTCTCTATCCATACTATTTTGCAGAAGTGTGTGCTCCCATTCTTTTGCCACTTCTTCAATCTCTCTTGGATCACCTGCTAAAATTGGCAATTGTAACCCTAAGTTATAGCAGCTATAATCGCATTGATTAATTAGTAGCATGAAAAAGTAGATTGAGTGGGTTAGGCAAGAGGATGTTTAGTGCGTGCATTAGTGACAGATAATAAAAAATCAGGCAAATAGATAAGTCTTGCCTGTTGTTTCATTCACTGAATAATCAGATGCTATGATAGGAAAGCTCCTCTTGAGCCCATCAGTCTTAACAATGCATGGGCTACCATCCTGAAAAAGTTTTAAAACATGCATTTATAGCCTATTAAGAGAATAACTTGAACTCACTTATCGCTATAACAGACTAACAGTAGATACAAGTAGTCCATTACATGGACATACCAAAAAGTTTTACAAAAACACAAACACAAGTTAAAACAGTGACATAAGAAGAATCAAGATACGTACAAGAGCGTCCTTTTCACATTGTTCTACAACAGAACATCTGCTACGGTATTCGTGAAGTTCGCGGCAAAGATTCTCATTAGCAGCTTCAAGCCAAGCAATCCTTTCCTTGAGGACCTAAATTATGCAAGTACAATTATTTCAACCAGAACAAAAAAAAAAAAAAAGATTATACAAGTCTCCAGGAGTCAAAAAAGATGCATGAGTCCACTTTAGGCTAGAAAAATTACTAACAAATACTCTGACTAATATTGATAAAAAAGATTTCCAACCATGAAGCATAAATCATGTCCATTTAGTGTTAAAGTTTACTAATTATAGGATTATACTAAAATTACAAACCATTCATTGAAGATTCCAGTAAAAAGAAGCAAAATACCTGAACTTCCTCAGAAGAGCCCCCAGCACGAGCACAAAGTTCTGCTTGCAAATACTCTAGCTGTTGTCTCATTTTCAGCATTTCGCTGGACATGGGATCTCTGTTGACCTATGGAAAGGTATAACAAAAAAGGAGAACCAAACTTATCATAAAAGACAACAAACTGTCCAAATTTTGTTGAATGAAAGAAAGAGATGGCAAAATACTAAGTACTCACAACAGGTTTATTTTGAATATTGCGTGCACGATTTGCATACTTCAAAGTGTTGAGGGTTTCCTCAGCATTAATATCAGCAGGACTTATGCAGGCTAGAAAAGAAACATCTTTTTGTGTAAGAAAAATAAATCCATTCAAGCACAGCTTGCTTTAGATGCAACTTGAAAAATTAGAGAGGGACAGAAACACAGGCATTTTAATCCCTTGTCTTCAATTATTTATAGCCAAAGGGAAGTCACAATAAATCTAGTTACTACTTAACAGTGCTGAAAAATCATTTCCAGAGGGTTGGAAAAGGAAGGCCTGAGAATGCAAAATCCAGAACACTGAGCATATATGCATAGCCAAAGCATTCGTTTACTCATTTTTAATATTATGTTCCTCTCTCCTGTTTTTGAAAGACTCAGCTGTATTTAGAAACTGGTACATTACAGAGTATAAAGACTAAGAAATCAGATGAGTTCTATTTCCCAAGATGAGATTTGTTTATTTAAAACTTCATCCTTTCAAGGGCACCACCCAAAAAAAAAAAAAGTGAGAAAGAATTAAAGTTGATTGGGATACAAGCAAGAACAACAACAAACCTATCATAACAGTTCTGCTGTTACCACCGAGTGAATCCTGTAAAATCATATAACTTTATCTAAATACATAAAATATAGGGAAAGTAAATATTTCTCAAAAAAAAAAAAAAAGCAGGAATGAGGGGTAATACAAAAACTTCCATTTGCATATATATATATATATATATTTTACCATTCACTTCTTTGCTACAATAATTATTCCTTCTTCACTTCAAGGCAATTGTGATTACAAATGAAAGAATCTAAGCACAAACCAGATCACTAAATGCAGAACTATCAGACAGATTTTGATTGCTGACATGATTTTTTTTAAAAATAACCAATCTTGAGGCACCAACAATCAGATCTACAGTCACGTTATTTTTCACAGCTTGATGTTATATGGGGAATTGTTCAACTATGCTTAATGGTTAATGAATGAAATTTCCATGACTTTCATATGATAACCTTCTCAGAGATGGTAAAAGAATTAGCATTATTTGGACCCGTAGAAACATGAGAGAAGAAGCACCATTTATAAAGAAAATTAATAATAGACTCCATAAGTTATTGTTTACATGATAAAAGCTATGAAACAACATTTTTATTTGTTACGTTCTATAAATGGTTTATTAATTTTGTATCATGCAATTATCACCCATTAGTTAGCCGCCGCATCTTATGAAGAACACCAAATAACAATATTAATGAGTTATTTGTTCATCTTAATGTATATTCACCATTATTATAAAGAAAAGTGTATGCTAAAAGAAATCTACATATAAAGATATCAAACCTGCAAAAGCCTAGTAAGTTTACTATCCCTGTAAGGAACATGAACACCTTCCTTTCGCTTCTTTTCATCACCAAGTGCACTAATAACATTACCAAGTGCCAGGAGGCCCTTGTTAATATGAATTCCTGTTTAAGATATGATACAATTAGCTATTACTCAACCGTAAAAAACATGCTCAGATGCTACCAGCAGGAGATGGTTACCTTCCTTAAAACGCAGACCATCAGAGCCTGTTCTTTTAGCTCGTTCTGAGCCAGCAAGATCCACGAGGTGCAACTTAGCACAAAGATACTCATCATTAATTGACTCATTTAAACCGTTCTCGCCAGGCATAACAGCCTTGGGTTTATGCATTTGCTCTAATGTGATGGTGAAAATGGCATGTGAACGACTAGTTGGAGACACAACAGAAGAGGAATGAGTAACAGAAGAAATCCTGAGCAGGGCAAATTTTGAAATTGCAACACTTTCACGCTAGATCAGGGTCAGCAAATAAGTTTCTATAATTAACCTGGATTGGTTATTCATATTTGTGCTCGCAGTAGCTCTGCTCAATGACCCTTGTTCCAGCCAAGCAGCCATTTCTTTCAGTGTTGAAACACTAACTTCAGTAGATCCAGCTAGTGTAATAACACCATTTGATGTCTCACGAATTTGTATGGGAGGTTTCCCAGGGACGGTCACTTTTCCTGCATGTCCATTAGCAGCTTCTTGCTTGCTCATGGAAGAAGGATCCAACAAGTCTCGTACTTCTTCTTTAAGAATCTTTACACCAAAAAAAATGGTCAAACAGTAAACTGAAACTACTAACATTTGAACTTTATCAGCTTCAGATATTAAAGTACAATGGAACTTCCAAAATAAGGCTGTAAAAAATTTATCAACCGACCTCAATGAAGGAAACATGCAATTGAAATTCAATCTGATGCTTTAAAGTCTCAATTTTGCTGAACAAAACATTCATGACTTGGGGTATTATGCCTGTTTGGCAACCATCTTTAAAACCAGTACCCATGGTGTATGTTTTCCCTGAACCTGTCTGCAATCAAGTGAAAATGTGACATCTCAGGTAAAATAGAAATAAGTGCAGAGGAATTTCACTTCCGTTACCGATGTAGTAACTTTACCTGACCATATGCGAGAACAGTAGCATTATATCCTTGGAATAAACCATCAACAAGGGGAGCGACACATTCTTCAAACATAGAGGATGAAGGAGAACCAGTACTCCCGTAAACATGATCAAATGTGAAGGAATGAGCACCAATTTGCACCTGTATTTTAATCATAATTAGCAAGCGATCCCAACCAAATTTTCCTGCTCAAGGATAGTGTGGTAAGGTGCTATCCTAGACAGAGGGTCTAAAGACTAAAGTAATTGATGCAATCAGCGTGCAAACAAGAAACAAGCAAAGAATTCTGAATGCCAACTTTTTTCAGTATCAGAGAATCATTAGTAATTTAGAGTTGGCAATTAGGAAGAAAGCGCGTCCAGATATATTTATTGTGATGATTTTGTTAAGAAGAAAATTGTCCTCATTTATAAAAGAAATCAACTGACGTTGTACAATAACGCAATTTGAACTAAATTTGGAACCTAAACACATGAGAGGCACAATCAATGTGACAAGCAAGTAGGTTCTAGTTCTTATGGCACCATTAGATTAAAAAGACACTTCAGTTTACCAAGACTCCCTTGTCATATCGTCCACTCGAAGTCGCTTACAAACTAGGATCCTAACAGATAGAAGCGAAATGACAAAAACTGGTGGCGACACTCCTCCCCGGATTCAATACATACATCATGAAATGGCGTCATCGCCGATCGCCTCAGTCCCCAAAAGAATGTTTAGAAAATGACATTTTTGTTCCCTGCTAATGTTCAAACCCAAAACGACACTACCTGAGAATTGGATGAAGTAAAATATCCCAATTAGGGAACCAACGGATCATAGGATCATTAATAAAAGCAATTTCAAAATCAACTTGAAAAACGCAGATGGTTATACCACACCCCAAATTCCGTTCCTCTCTCATTTTGAAAGAAGCCTTTTTCTTAAGCAAGCGATTTTGGATCCAGATCTCTCAAAAAAAAAAAAAAAGTCAAAGCCATATGCTTCACAGAATACAATGCAAAACCGAACCGTTAACAAGCACCAAAGCGATCCCCGCCTCCCCCAACGAGTCAATTACATGATTTTCATTGCAGACAGACGGAAAGGAACCATCACATTGTCGAGAAAGAGTGCACCTGAGGCTTCCCAGGGACGACAATGACACAGTCTTTACATCCCTGAAGCTTTTCATCACTGATGAGCGGTCGGACATGGACAGCAACCTTGACGCAACAATCTTCCCCTGCTTCCATTGGGAAGCAGCCCAGAAAAGGAGAGACGGAAAATGAAGGGGAGAGAGCTCCCGCAGTATGAACGGTTCAGCGAGAGGAAAAGATCCAGGAGCTGGGAAAGCCGTCCTCAACGCTGGCAGGAGAGTTGAGAGAAGTTTCAGGACGGGAAAGGGATGCAGCAACTACAGGAGCAAGAAGGGAAGGGAAAGCACGGGACAGTGTAAGAGAGAGAAAGTGATATAGTTAGAGATTGCGGGAGAGAGAAAATGAAGGGTGGCTGTGGAAATAGGGGCAGTGAGAGCGGAGGACACCGGAGCTGCTCAAGGTAACTGTAAGGACAACAACCACTATCATTTTCCTTCGGCTTCACTGCACACCAGTCCAGACAGTTGCGTGCCGCGAGTCTTTCAGGAACAGTTCCGAAATTGTCATTATTTTTTTTCAGAATTCTGTGATTCTCACAGGTAATTTTAACGAATAAAGGAGGTAGGAGTAGGACTTTTTATTTTGTAGGCAAGAATGAAATCTACTGTGGTGTGGGTTGGTGCGTAGATTTGAGAAGAAGATTAGAAAAGGAATAACACAGCGCACAAAGCCACGTGATGCGGAACCGGATACACCATTATAGACGGTATCCCATCATTGTCACTATGGTTAACAGGTGCCCTGCTTCTTTTGTTTACATGACACGCATCATGCCATGCACATAATTCTGGCCTTCCTTGGGGTATTTTATTTTTTATAAGAAAAAACCGGTAACATAATTTTTGTTGGCCAATGTAAATTAATTAATTAAATGGAGCATCAAAATTATGACGAGTTAATTTAAGAGGAAAAAAAGGGTGGGAGCATGGAATAAAAGAGGACGGGGCAGCACCGAAAGACGTAAAGGAGGGCGGAGGGAAAAAAGGTGGGGGCAGGAAAGAGAGGGCATTGGGAAGCAAAGGGAGGGTGAGGGAGAAAGTGACCCACCTATAGGACACTTCCAGCTGTGTGGTCTCTACCTTCACATGGCGATCAAAGCTCTGCTTCTCCAATTTAGTGGGCCCCAACCTCCCAGACTTCCTCGGTCAGCCTCCTCATATGGTCCCTCCCTCCCTCTACTCTGGGCGTTTCAATTTCTTTGTGACGTCGAATTAATTCATCTCTGGAGTTTGCTACTCTTAAGCATCGCAGTGTGTGTGTGTGAACACAATTAGGTGTCCCAGCTCATCTACGCTCACGATCCCAACGGTCACATGCTCCTTTTTTGCCTCCCTTTTCTTTCCATTTCAAAGGCTTCATTATGCTATTTAATACTCCTTCCCTTTTTTCGTTGAAATTAAGGAGAATTATTATATGACGGTTAGGACATTCCGATTACACAACCCCAAAAGCTAATCCAGGTCCTATATTCCGCCGAACAAAGTTCATCTCAGCTCTGCCTCAATACATCCCATTCGCGGTTTCAGAAACAGAGTCGAACTAGATTGATAAATCAGACCTGGATCCCCGTGTCAAAAATTTGCCAGACCAGATGGAAGACATGCTTAGATCAATACTGAAAAGAGAGAATGCAAACATGGAATCATTCAGTCTTGAGATCGATCTAACGTTTTCTTTGTCGCGTTTCAGCCCCAGGGAGATTGACCATTGCGGAGAATGAATTATTGTCTCGAAAGAATGCTCCACAGTGCATCCAGCAGAACTTGGTGGAGACTATTTTTCAAAAGGAAAACTCACATCCAGCTTTTTGCAAAAAATAATAATTATTATTATTAATAAGAACCAACATAGAATAAGTTGTTAAAATAAAAATATAACTTATTTTTTAAAATAAATTTATTATTAACTCTTATCTGTAATTAATTTTTTGAGAGAGGATTATATGTAATTTTTTTTTTCAAAATTTTAAGTACAACTATCGAGATTTTGGATTTTTTTTTTTCAAAAAGAAAAAATGATTAGCATCTCCCTTCATTTTATTCGTGCCTCAAAGTTACCAAAAAGAATCATGACTAATTTCACCAAACACCACGGCAAAATTTTTAGAAGCCACGTGTATTCCATATCAAACAAACAAACTTAAACAATTGTAATTTAACAGTATCAAATATTCAAATTTTAATTGATTATTTGATTGTATAAATTAATCAATAAATTAATATATCAACATATCACATATGAGTGTATGAAAAATTCACAAAAATTACATTGTTTATAAGCAATAAATAGTACCGTTAAATCCTAGTCAGCTCATGATAAAATATAGGATATTGGTTAATTAGAATAATTATAACTTATTTAAGATGTTAGAATCATCTATGAGAGATATTTGAATAAAAATTTTATTCATTAGTATTATATTTATTATTTGATTTTATTTTTATATTAGATTTATTTATGTTTTATAAAATAAAATATTATTTTCTTATCAATATTTTTTAAAATTAAATTTAAGATTTAGATTTATTATTTTATTATTCTTTTATTATTTTTAAAACTTTGTAAATAGAGTTAGAATTTTTATTTAAATTTAACTTTAATTATTATTAATGAATAGAGATTGTGAGAGTTTCCTTCTCCTCCTCTTTTTTTTTTTTCCTCCCTTCCCCCTTTCTCTTCTTTCTCTTTTCCTTTCCTCATTTTACATCACTTCAACTGTTCAACATTTACATCTTACTACAGGCGTATTTGGACTCTAGTATATAAAAATATGATTACACATTTTGAAGATCCATATTATTTAAATCTTTCATTGAAAACACCTCATTAACTAAAAAAGGCTCACATACTATTATTTTTATTTTTTTATTCATCAAAATTCATTTTTAAACAACTAAATCTATATTTCTTTGAAATTTAATTCATTTCTTTTAAATTACTTGTATAAAAAATTGAATGACGTGACGGATATGTAACTATATATCGATTGATATGGAACTATAGGTTGAAACATAATGAGAATAACTTGATGTAATAAAGCAGGAAGCCGACGGTATTAAATGCGATGGTTTGACAAAGAGTTGCAGGTAGGTGTATACTGCCGCGAAAATATCAAGCTTTTTTGGGTCATGAACGCTGCCCCCAGTCTCCAACTTCCAGGCACTATAGTGACTACGAGCTTCCAGATTTATGAAGCTTCATCTATAAATATTTACATGTATATAATATTTAGATTAGACTAGCCTTTTGCTTCTTCACATTTTAAAATAAAATTTGAGGAAGCCGAAATTTCTTCGAAGAGTCAGTACCAAGGAGCGTGGCAGTGGGCCATAACCGGAACTTCATTTCCTGCTTCCCACTGTTATACTTTGGAGCCATTCATCAATTTGGAGCATTAACATACTCTCCGATACTCCAGGCCCGTTGCCCCTGTCACAAACAATCAACTCCTATTGCTTCTTATATATGTCGATGGCTCATCTTTTTCCAAGTTTTGGCAGATTTTTATATTCAAATCAGATAGCATAAGCTTTCATATTTTATTGTTCAATCAAAACGCAGAAAATGACCCCTCCTCTGTTTTTTAGCATTTTTCTTCATGTGGTGGACCGCAAGCAAAGCAACGCGGCAAAAAAAAAAAAAAAGCCTTTTATTTTTCCTCTCCTGCAATTCTGGGCTTCTTTATTCAGAAGGAAGAAACGAGAGCTGTGGGAGAGGAGGGTGGGTGCATGAAATAAAAACCCAACCTCAATTTTCCTTTTTAACCTAACTCCACATTCATTGGATTTCATCTTCCGAACGTTAGCTCAGACGCAAACAAAGCAACCACATAGTGGTCCCCCATCAAACTGTTTATTTCGGCTTCCCGCGGCAACATTTATCTGTTAAGTACCCTTGATTAAGAGGAAATTAGTAACATCAAGGGGGAGTTATAACTCATAGCAGTGTCTCTTCTAGGGGTGTGTGTGTCACAGTGGCACAATCCTTCAGATGATGACCTTTTTAACCACTACGACATGATCTTAAGATCAGGGTTAATTACCAAACTACAAACAAAATGACCCTGTCATTCATGCCGTCCCTGTCTCTCAGTCTCTCTCACTGTGTGTGCGTGTGTTGGATTATATCTGAGCTTGATGAGCAAGAGAGGTCCTTATCCATCAAAAAAATGACAGGAAGCACATGATTAGAGAAAACTATATCATTCATATTCTTTTGAAGAAGGGGCAGTGAGTAGGCGGGCAGTAGCTTTTTTTGCTTTATGCTTTCAGTGAGGCTAATAACTCGGCAGCAGCAACAGGGCATAGTAGTGCCTTGCTTTATTCTGAAGCCCAACCTCTGTTACCCCACCAAATTTCTCCCTGCTTTCATCCCCCATGTGGAACTTTAACTCACATGCTCCCATCACTAACATCATTCCTAAACCTCCTTTTTCTGACCAATCCCCAATCTTTCTGCCTCCTTTCGCCCTATCATTCTCTCCCACCCAAACCCCTCCTTCCCCTTTATTTATCAGAATCATTAACCGCATAATTACAACATAACTTGGCCTATCTTAACTAAGCTCCAATAGCGCAGCTCAATCACTCCTCTGCACTCATTTCAAGTACGTCAACAACATGATCTCTGGCTTCATTGCCAGGATATTGATTCCTATAACATAATCATTAGATGTGGCCCTATCCAATCTAATCGTGTTTCTGCGTTTGATTGTATATTGGCTCGGACACAACCTTCAATATGTAGCTCCATATTAAGTATCCTCCCCCTCTCGGAGCTGGGGACTCCGGTTGCAGACACGACATGTGCATCGTGGCAAGCTTTTATCATTAGCATGCGCGCCAATGAGCTGTCGAAAGCCTAGCCAGAAAAGTAACTTATGCGACTTTTAGGACAATTACTAGTGGCTTATGGATGGTTATTGGTGACTCATCTATCGATATTATTCTGGATACATATTCTCGTATTCGGTTTGACATCGAGTTAATGGCTACAAGTAGAGAAAAAATCGATCACTTTTTTCCTTTTATACGCGCTTTTTAATTTTCATAGCAAAATGAAATGTTACATGGAAAAAGAAATACTTGGATATATTAAGTGCACCACATCATTTGTGTTGTGTCAATAATCCAAATAACTTTCATGATTGATACCCCGCTCACATGTTCTTTATCCCCTCTGTAAAATGTTCGTTGATACTTGATAATTAAGATAGGATCATTTGTCTGGTCAAGATAGTTTAATCAGTGGAGTGAATTTCTTTCTTCGCTGTTGATCGGAGGGCTGATGAGAGGAAGATGAGAAGCCCAAAGACTCAGTTGATATTTGGGCCTTCGTGAATAAACTAAAGTCTGAAATGGCGTGTTGATCCACGACGTGGAGTGAACCTGCTTCATGAGAACTGGGGCCAGGCCCACTTCACACCAACTCCATGCGAGAAGTGTCAATATTTTTTCTTAACACGCTTCAAGTTCTACATGGGATGGATGGCATGTGAATGGGAGCATGTATAAATGTATATTATGTTTTATCATTATATACTACCTTCAATTTTTCTTATAAAACACTTTCAATTATTTTAAAAAGTTAGTTTTTTATCATAAAAAAGTGAAAAATATTTTTATTTTTACTCTTAACTTTAAATAATAATACAATTATATTAAATACTTTTACACTAATTAAGAAAGGGTAAAATTTAAAAAATAATTTAATTATTATAAGTTGTCCTATATTTTAGATAAAAAATTATTTTTATAAGGTGTCTTATAAATAGGACTAGATGTGCGAGCATGCACGTGCGCATGCGTGTGGATTGCATGAATGAACACAAATTTCTTTAGAAAAGACACTATACTATTATGTCTATCTTATGACGATTTGAAAGGAGTTTATTTTACCATGGTCTGTGGTTGGCAATTTTTTGCTTGACGTCTGTGTGTATAAGTATTTTTATAAAATTGCAACTTCAATTTCAGGGATAAAACTTTGGAGTTGCTAAATGGGGAGAAGGATGTCTTCATTTTTTTATTATCATTTTCCATCTACTTCTTAATCATGATCATTGATCAAATATATGACTAAAATAAATCCACTTAATGCAGTGATGTTAATAATCACAATTAAAAAATTGAGAAAAAATGATGATAAAGAAATGGAGAGAGCTCTCTCCCTTAACAATGGTGCAATTATGATATATGCCAATAAACTCATGATATAAATTGCTTTAGCCAAAATATTTTTTGCTAGCCAAGCCATGCAACATCCTCCCTACTATCCAAGGACCTCGTTGATACTAGACTAACACTCATAATCACATGATCCATTACTTAATTAAAACTACATTTGATCTGAAGGAAAAAGGAGGTAGAGGGGGATGGGAGGGAAAGTAGGAATCCCTTAATTTGGGGAGGTTTTAGAGCCCCTCTGTGTTAATTTTCCCAAACAAGAGAAGGAGAGCCCTCCCTTTCATTTTTTCCATCTAAACAAGAGGCCTCCCTTGTAACCAAATACGCTATGAAGCTCACATACAATAATTGACAAGCCTCATTTTTTAAAATTACTTTTGGCTAAAGCATATGTTCAAGGTTATCAATCATTAATCAATATTTTGTAAATCAAATTGAACAATCTAATTTGATTGTAAAACTAACAAACAAGTATCTAGCTTAAACCGAATCTAAATTAAAATTACACCCAGGAGACTAATCAATAATAATCAAAGCCAATCAAAATAGAATGAAGAAAAAAAAAATCACTTGATTCATATATTTTGATTTGAGTATAATTTAATCCCTAAACTTTAATTTGGTACTATAATATCCTAAATTTTAACATTCAAAAATAACTAATTAATCAAGGGTAATTAAGTAAAATTAAGTGTTAAGGGGGTTAATAATAGTTAGTGATAGCTAACAAACCTTTTAGTTTTGGGTATAATCTTTGAATCAGTTCGGAGGTGTTTTGGATCATTTGGGCTGAAATTGATGAGCTAGTTCGGACCAAGCCTTTATGTGGCAAACGGTCAAAAACTTAAACTAGTCAATTTGCATTCACAATCTATAAAAAGAGAAGGAAAGAGAAGGAGAAATAGAGGGTGGGGGAGAAGGTGTAAGCTAAGTCACGCATTTAAGGTCATTCTTGAGAGGTTTCAACTTCCAAACTTTGAGGTAATCATCTTCTCTCTCCTTTTCTATGCATTTCAGCTTGGATTTTCTCTATAAGAATGGTGATTTCAAACCATATGGCCATAGGTCCGAACCATTAATCCTAATGGGATTAATGAGAGTTGTTTTAAAATTCTAAACATAATTTTGAAGATTCTATAAGGTTATAAGTTTGGGTCTAAGGTTTTGGATAAACTCTTGCCACTTTAGGAGGAATTTGGATTGTTGGATAATATATTAGTTGTTATTTAAGCAATTAGGAGCTAAACAGAGTTAATGAAAGTTAATAAACTCAATAGACATGCGATTTAACTTTTAGTTCGAAAGTTTAGTGTTAGTGAATAAAGTGTGAATTTAGGAGTTGAAAGTGATGTTTATGTGATTATGGTTCTCATCAATTGTATATTAACCCTGTAGTATACCATTTGAACTCAATTTTAGTTTGAGAAGTAAATTATTTAGGAGTAATATTTGAGTTTTCAAAGGTTTGAGATAATAATAAAAAATTTGTTTTTGTGTTAATTGCTTGTTAGATTAGTTATAGTGTTTGTGAACATGATTAATGTATTTTCTAGTTAAATAAACTTGATTTATTATTTTGAAAAATAAAATACAAGTGTGGCCTTTTGTAATGAATGAGAAAAGTTCATTATGGTAAATGTTATTTATCATCACAAATAAGAAGTTTGAATATTATGATGGCATATGAGAAATTGTGATTATGTATGCATGCCTGTGATAGCTAAATTGTGCTAGATGTATACATTTAAGACTTAAGAGTATTTTGTGAATTTTATAAAACTTTTTGATAATAAATTTTTTTATATCTAAATGTGATTTTTCTTAAAAGAAAATTAATGAAGTCATGATTGACAAATTGGTAATTCAGTTGGTTTTGGTTCCAACTGATATTTTTTTAAAAAAAGTAACTACATATTACGGGCTGTCATCACGTATTTTCAATTTATGATTTACATTGACAATAGAGGAAAATAGTGGACACACACACACATAAAAGTACCATTTACGTTCCACATTAGTAGACAATTTTAGGGATATTTCATTATCTTAAAATATAATTGATAAAAATATAATTTTATTAATAATAATAATTTAATATTATTCTTTAAAAAGAAAGAGAATTGAAATAATTATAGTGTAGTGATTATGTGTGTAAATTTAAAGTTATATTAAATGAATTGTATTTTTTAAAATTTGTATCTTTATTTTGAAAAAAATAAATATGTAAAATGAAATTATTGAATTTTATTGATATGTATAATACAATATTTTCAGAACCGAACCAGACATTGAACTGAAAAAGTCAGCAGTTCACGATTCGTATGGTTCAACCGGTTGGACCAATGGTCCAACCGGTGACGTAATAATTAAATTAAAAAATTATATATGTATATAATAATTTAAATATAAGAAATACATATGAAATTGTTATTTAACTTAAAAAAATTAAATATTTTAAGTTTATCACGACTTAACAAGCCATATGATACAATATAATATCAAATGATTAAAAAAATTAGTCATTTTTTTAAATTTGATAAAAAATAAAAAAATTTTTTTGAACAGTCCGGTTTTTGAAAATCGAATTCAGTTCCCGATCTTATTGCTGATTCGAAACGGCTCAAACTGGCTCAACTCTTAAAACAATTTTTTCCTTTGAACCAGACCGGTTGGTCCGATCCGGTTTTCAAAACAATGATATAATGTTAACCAAATTGTCTTATAATTTGAAATGAGGATAGTATATAATATATATATATATATATATCATAATTATTTTATTTTTTTAAAATTATAAATATTTTTTTTTATAGAAGAAAAGCACAAAGGGCACTAAGTTCTCAAATCAGTTGCTGACTATTCATAAATACATTCAAGTGGATCCATGAAGAAGACAGGTCCATTAGCAAGATTGAGGGTTTCTTTGACAAGTTTGTCAGCAACAGCATTAACATCATGACCACACCATAGTAGATTCACCCTCTAATCCCTCTACATCATATGTTGAATCTCAAATATAAGATTTCGATTTGGGTGATAAATCGTGGTTCCCTCCTTGAGTGCAACTCTTACAAATAGCAATATCTAACTAATAATATATTAATTTAATAATGATCATGTAATCATGGTCCGGCCACGAAACTGTCTTCTAATTAATGACTCAATTGCTTTAATAGTTAGTCCAATTTTCACATCTTTGAAACTCGCTGTTTTTTATTTAATTTTTTTTAGTTTTCAAAAACTTAGACAAATATGATAAAAAAAAAAATTTAAAATGACATTATTTTCACCGCGAAAAGTTCCTGGCTTGCGTTTGGATTATTTTGTTTAACGAAGGGCATAAAAGGCAGTTCATATATATATATATATATAGATATATAATTTTTTACAATTTTAGTCCTTTTATCATCTGGGGTAATTAAAATTTTGAAAAAATAATAATTAAGAACTCTCTAAAAATATTAATCTCAATTAAGGATTATAATATTTTAAAATTTTAGTTAAGGATGGTCCGTAATTGAGATGAAAAAAAACATAGTTTGTAAGGTGGGATTCACTAATACTATTTGAGGATTCACTAATCTAATTTAAGAAAATTTCTAATGTGTATTGTAAAAATATAAAACCCAATTTAAAAATTAATTATTTAAAAAAAGCGTTACTTGAAAATTTACTAACCTAATTTAAAAATTTTTTAACATGTATTGTAAAAATATGATACTTCACTTGGGAATCGAATGCTTAACAAAAAAAATCACTTAAAAATTTACTAACCAGACTTTAAAATTTTTTTAATGTATATTGTAAAAAAATGAAACTTCAATTAAAAATTGATTGTTTAACAAAAAAATAACTTGTCTAAATTGGAGATTTTTAATAAAAAATTGATTCCCAAATGAAATTTTATGTTTTCATAATATATGTTAAATTTTTTTAAATCAGGTTAGTGAATTTTTATGTAACACTTTTTGTTAGACAATTAATTTTTAAGTAGAGTTTTATATTTTTACAGTATATGTTAGTAATTTTTTTAAGTTGAATTAATAAATTTTTAAGTGATATTATTAAATCTCATATCACAAATTATATTTTTTTATTTCAATCAAGGATGATGATCTTTAAGTAAAATTTTAAAATATTATAATTTTTAATTAAAATTAATATTCTTAGAGCTCTTTATTTGTCATTGTCCCTGAAATTTTTACGGTGCTGGGAATTTCTCCTCTGGCATATACGTATAGGAACGAGGATCGAAATTCGAAGGACTATCAACTGTAGCGTGGCTGATGTCTGGTGGGATTGCGCGGGGTCGCGTAGCCGAGGAGCGAAAAGCCTGGCGTAAGAATCACCCCGCATTTTCCGTCTCTGCTTCAATAACTGTCTTGGTATCTGTTTGCTCCCTTGTATTTTTCTCTGCGCAAGTCACTCGCCCAACTGTTTTCGTTCTTTAGGGTTTCGTGGCGAAGCCAGAAACTGGACCAGATGGCTGTGTGAATTTGATGGCATGGCACTGCATTATCCCTGGCAAAGCCGGAGTCAGTGCTCCCCTTCATATTCTGCTTTATTCTTTCTAGACTGTGCTTGGAAGTTAGAACTTAATTGGCGACTGAAAGTTTTATTTCTTATTAACAACCAGAGTTAGGTGTCAATTTTGAGCCATCGACTCTCTTTTGTACAAGAGTTCAAAATAAATAAATGGGTTCAGGTGCAAAAATAGCATAGACATTTTAACAAATAAATGGGTTAAGGTGCATGTATGCCCATTAATTTTATGAAAGAAGCCAATCTTCCCCAATGTGTTACCATATTTTAACAGGTTGGGGAAGGCTGACCTCTTTTGTAAAGTTAACAATGCACCATTGGAGAAAAAGTTTCTGGTATTTTTGTACCTTTAAAATTTGTTATACTTCTATTGTCTTGGATCGCTTGCTCTGTTAGTCAATGAGGTGATTTCAAATTGGAATTTGCATCCATTGTCAGCTAATTTATATATTCTTGGATTGAGCAGTGCTGGGTGCAGTTACAAGTTAGTATCTTGCCAGTTGGGCGCCCTGGATTCAGGACTGTGTTTGCCACTTAGTTGTTTTCCTCCATATACTTGGTTAAGTTATACCGATTTCTTCCCTTTCTACTCTGCTCGCCTCTAGTTTAAGGGCGGAGCCATGATTTCATTATGAGAGCAGCCGAGATTGAAAAGCATATATAAGCATAAATTTTAAGGGCTGTAGATATATAACACCTATATAATACTTCTTCTGTACCTGATTATAAGAGCCAATTTTGAGAGATTGGTGCCCTTAATTATAAGACCTTCTACAAAATTCTAGGAATATTTAAAAGTGTTTCCACACATACCCCTAATAAATGATTATAATCTAATGGCCTATATCCTTGGAAAAATTTGAAGACATATGACGACGTGAAAATCATGACATTTAATTGAGGGCAAAATTGGAATGAAGCAAAAATATTTTAACATCAGCTAACCTAACATGTTTTTGTGGCATTTGTGAGTCAAATAATTGGCTCTTATAATTAGGGAGGGAGACTATTAAGAAAAAATTGAAAACTTGGGGGTCATACTCCCCACCGATCCCTCTGCTGCTGCCCTGGTTGTCACTCTCCCCACTGCAAGTGAAGCTGTGTAACTTGGTATAGCATCAAGACATGACAATTGACAAAAGACAACCTTCAGCCTGTTTCAGATTCCTGTATCTTCATAATAGGGGAAGATTGCTTCGTTCTGCGATACTATTTTCAAATGCTAGATTCATCTCACAAAATAATGAATAACTGTATATTCGCAATCTTGATCAAGTTGTAAAGTTGACCAAAGAAAGCGGTGATATGTTATTAAATATTCAAATTTCCCATGGATGTTGCTGGAAATGCTCGTATAGTGTAATTGCATTTTTTCTATTTTACTTATGGTAACTAGTCTTGATGAAGTTCTGACTGATATTTATTGTGTTATTGTTATTTTCTTCTCTTGGTTTATTCCTTTGGTTGCTATAGGTCTGGAAGATATTATCTTTGTGGTTTTCTTTTAATTCCTGTGAAAAAAACCATTAACCGTCTAAATGATGCAGACTGACTGGGAGGGAGGCTACTTCCCCCTTACTCTTCACTTTAGTGAGGATTATCCCAGCAAGCCCCTAAAGTGCAAATTTCCTCCAGGTTTCTTCCATCCTAATGTCTATCCTTCAGGAACTGTATGCCTCTCGATCCTTAATGAGGACAGTGTAAGAGCAGAAGTCAGCTATTTATTATATGTGCAGGTTCTGTTATATTGAATTGGATTATGTCTTCTGATTCTCATATTTGTTTTCTTAGGGTTGGAGACCTGCCATTATGGTGAAGCAAATTCTCGTGGGCATTCAAGATCTCCTGGACCAACCAAACCCTGCGGATCCTGCTCAAACTGATGGGTATCATCTTTTCATCCAGGTTCTTCTTCATTTCCTCTGGATCCACCCCTGAAATTTCTAATGTTGCTGGCGAGCAATCCATGATAAACAATGTTGTGTTTATATGCAGGTTCCTACTGAATATAGACGAAGGGTGCGGCAGCAGGCTAAACAGTACCCCCCCGGTTCTTTAGCTTTCTGTTCTTGTTTGTTCATATGTTGGCCTTTTTGTTGACTTGATAAAATTAAATTTTAAAAATTCTGTTTGAGACAAGCGTCGATTTTCTAGCTGACTATTAAGGCCATCGGTCGCTAATATCCAAGTAAGATAAAGAAGAATTGCGCTTTTTTTTCCTAAATAATTTTTTGTTTTCTTCGACTCAATGAAAATATAAGTGCTTGTGGTGGGCGGAGTTTGGAGCTTGATATTACTTGCTGTTGAGTTTGCTTGCACATTTTGACATACTGCAGTGGGGAAAGTTTTCCTTCGCCAGCCATGAATGGAGGAGGATCACACTCCTGGCCTCGTGAGATATCCTGTTATAAGACAATAATTATTAGTATTATAGTATTTTTTAAATCTAATATCTGGCGTGATAGATTCAATTTAAGGATTCTGTTTGAGACGGAGGCGTTGATCTGGGGTGAAGCCGCTTTCACCTATTAGTAACGACACGGTTCGGTGGAAGGTGCTGGGCGAAGCTCACGAGTTACTGAGATGAGTGTGGTACCAGACGTAGTGACTCTGCTTTGTTAAAAAACATAGTTATTTCATCAGAACTTTGAGTGTTATGTTATATCCGTTTTCCATCATAAGCATTTAACGCTTTCGTCTTAGAATGGCCCGCATCTCAATGATGTCTCGTCTTCAATCGCTATGAATAATATTTGAATCTCCTTTTTTATTTTTTTTCCAATTGGTATAATCTTTGCAGTTGAATCTCAAAAGATGTGCATCTTATAGGTTACTTTCAGATTAATATTGTCAAAATTTTACATGATTTATATAAGTATTAAAATATTGTGAAATTGAATAGAATAATCATTAAATAATTGGGCTGGTTTGATTGTTAGAAATGAAATCAATTAAAGAAATTAAAATCAAAATGAATTACAAGTTCATGTGATTAAATTTTACTGCTAATATAATAATTTTGATGAGCAATTGATAAATATCTTTGTAAATATATTTTAAATTTAAGGTACATTTTAGTTCTTGTAAGCTTTCGAGACTTAATTCACCTATATTTTTTTTGTATAAAAAAATTAAATAGTAAACATGATAAAATTTAATACTATATTTTACAAATGCAAAAATTAATATATACTCAAATTTTTATAAATTATAACATACAACTTATAAATTAAATTATCATTTTTCATGAGTATGATTGACTTATAAATGGATCTTTATGGATTCTAGAATTGTAACACATTAGATTTGAAGAAGCTTTACGTGCTTGGTAATTTCTGCATGTATCTAATTCCATATGGATGTGGATATATAGATACATGGATGAAATATCAAATAACTCTGAAGTGTCCTGTTCCCACGGACCCCTGCACGTGCATAGCCCACTTTCTCCGCATGCTCCACATTCCGCCCATAACTGCCCTTCCCAAATCAAATCAAATCCCACCTACCTTTTACTTGACCTGGCGTGGCATTGAATTTTACGGGAAAATTATTGGCCCTTGGTTGACCTGATATTTTGAAAGCTTGGACATTTTAGCACAAGCTAGAGTTTTAGTTCACCGTATCATTAAAACATTCTCTACTTTCAAGATACTGAGGTAAATTTGTTTCCTTTGATCCTTTTGTAACCTTGTACAGTTTTATTTAATGAATTTTTCCTTTCCAACTTAAAAAAAAAAAAATGTCCTTCATTAAAGATCTGATCTCGAACTCCCCCCTCAGCTTAGGCGAGTAATCGAATCTATTTTGTTCTTTTGCTACCTCCAAATTCATTGGACTTGGTTCCAAACCGATTTTTCTGTACACAATTTCTTTCATTATTCTTCGGATGAAATGGTGAATATGCAACTTCACTTGATCCAAAATGGGACTTGTAAGAGGAGCTGGTTGTCTCCCACACGTTACTGTAAAAGTTAAGATGCTTGGCAACAGAGGTTCTAAATCCTAATACTTTATTAATAATCAAACAATTATATCAAGTTAAGAAACTTAATCACAAATCAAAATAAGGATAACGAATCCTGCACATTAAAAAAATTGCCAATTATTGCCTAACAATTGAATTAACTTACGAAGGTATCTTAGAAAAAAAAAAAATTCTCAAAATAATTCCAAACACTGTCTTCGTGTTTTTCACTTTCACATCGCCTTCAGTGACAGTAGTGGGGGTTGGTTTGTATGAAGACAAGTTTGAGATGTTACGCATTTGCTGGCTCCATTGTTATAAGAAGTGTTCGGTAGAAGTTCAGACATTCGGAGGTTGGTGCAACTCGTGTTGATGCAGTAAGCTGCGACCGTTAGCTGTGTGTCATCCCATCCCTGTTGACGATTTTCCTTCCATCAGATTGTTGTGGTTCTCAATCCTTAACTTGTGTGCACTTGTGAGCGAGTCACACAAATGATGGTTCTTCTTCTTCTTTGGTGAATTATTGTAGTTGTTTGTTGTTCTAAGTTTTGGCAATAATACACCGTGGCCCACGCGCATGCAGGAAAGAAGGAATTGCTTGGCTAACTAAGTGAGATATTGAGATTGCAATGGCATTAGCTGTGCTTAACACTGCGTTAGAATGGGTGACAATGGCTTTATCTGCACGAGCTGTAGTTTGTGGAACCTATGTTGGTGGTAAAGCCTTATTAATTACTCACGCTAACATATCTTTCTATTTCGCGGGCGAAACAACGACTGACATATTTGCCTTTTCCTTATATCTTCCTGCCATCTGGTTGAAGCACATTTGTTTGTTGAAGTTCTTCTGCTGCTTGTCGGCCTTTTATTACTCTCCAGGAAAAGTTCCAAGCCTCGAAAACGAAAGTTGAAACCGAAGGTTAGTTTCACTGTCTTGTTTTTCCTCAACGGATCTCTGTCTGACTGTCTCTTCTGCAGGCTTTTTTATTGAAGGGAAATGCTCTTCAGATGTGGACTTGTGCCATGATTTCTGCTGATCATGTTTAATTCAGACTTGGATTTCCTCATGTTGTGATTTAACATTGTAACTCGTGCTTATGTTTGCAGGAAATAGATGATTTATGTGATCAATGGGTTCCCGAACCTCTATTTCCTCCCATAACCAAAGAGATGTTGTATGAACCGCCAGTGCTGGAGAGGTGATGATTTGTAGAGGATAGAAGCCTTCGTTTCTTTCTTTTCTGTTATTCGTTAGTTACAATTGCATACTACGCCTTGTTTCCTTCGCTGATCGTTCCCTTGCAACTGAAATTACATCTATGTTGTTTTCTTCTGGTCAGCTTCACAGTTATGAATATGGACAAGGGGAAAAAAAAACCAACGTTACGAACTTATGCAGACCAATTTTTTCCTTGGATTCATAATTTCGATCTCCCTCATTGTTAGACCATTACAGGGGAGGTTTATGTCAAGTTAAAATTTAAAATAAGAGAGATGTTCAAGGTTTTTTAAGTTGAAAATGTCATTATAAGGGAGATTGGTTGTTTTGGACACGATACAAACCTCAAGGTAGGTCATTGTACAGACTGTGTAGTCCAGGCAAAAGGGCAAAAGGATGCATATTTCTTTATTTTTGTCATCCAACTGATGAGTTGTGTTTAATGCAGTGCTGCTGGGCCACATGCTATAATTAATGGTAGAGAAATTATTAATTTTGCTTCGGCAAACTATCTTGGATTGATAGGTCATGAGAAGCTGCTTGTAAGTTCTCAGGAAATTCTTCTCATAAATATCATTGATAAATTTTCTTTCGAGTTAAGGTATATATTTACTGCTAATGTCCTGTTTCAGGAGACCTGTACTGCTGCTATAGAAAAATATGGTGTTGGTTCCTCTAGTTCTCGTGGGTTTTATGGAACATTCGGTAAGATTTGATTTTATACTTCGATTGATTTTCTTTCTAATTTTCCTTCTTTCTTCTTCTGTTCAAGTTATTCACAAGAAAAGCTCGCCGATTGATGATACTCTTCTCTCTACTCCAGATGTCCACCTCGACTTTGAAGCCAAAGTATCAAAATTTCTGGGAACCGCTGATGCAATTCTTTACTCTTATGGACTCTGTGCCATGTTCAGTGCAATTCCTGCTTTCTCCAGAAAAGGAGATATAGTTGTCGTGTAAGTATCCATAAGCTAGTCCTTGACCATAAACTTTATGGTTCCATTCAGTTTTTCCTATTCCTCCTTACACTTGAAGCTTTGTATGACCTCAACGGAAACTTGACATACATTTGGAGTTCTTATTGCTACTGGAAGTTCTCATACCAAATCTCAAACTTGAGTTTCATATAGAAGTGATTTTCATCGTTTACAGTGATGAGGGAGTCCACTGGGGGATCCAGAATGGCCTTTGTCTCTCTAAAAGCACAGTGGTGTACTTTAAGCACAATGACATGGACTCTTTGAGACAAACACTGGAGAATATTACTAAAAAACATAAGCGAGACAAGAAAATGAGGCGTTACATAGTTGTTGAAGCTATCTACCAAGTACATATCTTATTGTCAGGCTGTATACGTTTGCCGCTTATATTTACATTTTGATTACATGACCAATAGATGTTTATGATCTATCTTCCATGAAAATTTCAGAATTCAGGCCAAATTGCTCCGTTGGATGAGATCATTAGATTGAAGGAGAAGCACCGTTTCCGTGTTTTATTGGACGAGAGCAACTCATTCGGTGTGCTTGGAAGTTCTGGAAAAGGTCTCACCGAATACTTTGGAATTCAAGTATGTAATGGAAATATTTGTGTGTGTGTGTGTGCAGTACGAATATGCTTTGAAATGCATGTCCATTGTTGGTTGTTGGTCATGTACTGCAGGCTGAAAAAGTAGATATCATAGCTGCTGCAATGGGACATGCACTGGCCACAGAAGGAGGATTCTGTGCTGGAATTGCTGGAACTGAAATTCACCAGGTATAAAAGTGTCCATGTGATGATATTAATCACCATCTACAGTTAATAGGCGTGTTCTCTAGAACATAATATACTGAGGGAAAGAAAGGGAATGCGGAAATTAAATATTTTGATTATTTATTTCATTTTACTTGCTCTCCTAGGCCTGATAGAAGTCCCAACTGTAACGAATGTATGAGTGCTAATATGTAATGATGGTTTCAATCTCGGCAGCGATTGACAGGTGCTGGCTATGCCTTTTCTGCTTCTCTGCCTCCATATCTTGCAAGCGGTGCAACCAAAGCTCTTGAAATCCTTGAAGAAAATACCAATCTGGTAACAAAGCTGAAGCATAACATTGCCCAGTTGTGGGAAGGTGGGCTTTGATCTCATTCTCAATGCATCAATGTAATAGCGCTTTTTGTAAAGCATTTGAACTGCTGGTGATTATCATGTTTATTTCTTTGCCTGCCATTTAGAACAAGGATCTTAGACTAGAGTCTCTGATTTGAAAATGCATTTTTGGTCGAGTACAGAAGTATCAGACATACCTGGCTTGACACCAACAAATAGTGCAGAATCACCAATTATTTATTTGAAATTAGAGAAGTCAACAGGTAGCATTGAAAATGACCGACGCCTGCTTGAAAATATTGCCCAGCGAGTGAGTAAAGTTTGCTTGATAATTCTAACGGCTTGTCAATTGGTTGACTGGTAACTAATGGCATAGTAATCACAGGTTTTGGAGGAAGATGGTGTGTTGGTGGTGGCTTCCAAAAGATCAAAAGTGGATGGATGTCGATTGCCCTTAGGAATTAAATTGTTCGTCTCGGCATCTCATTCTGAGTCAGATCTTCGTAAGGCCGCTGGATCATTGAAAAGGGTTGGTGCCTCAGTCCTGAGTGGTCGTAACTGAAGTTGAATGCTTCTCTCCTGTTACGTTATGTATTGAAACATCACTTCAGGTGCTGAGGGTGAACAACTTTCTATATTCCGGAAGGATTTCTCCCTGCTCTGTAATTTCGGTTTGATATGATAATAAAAAGGAATTAGAGGAACATCAGCCCATAACGGCTGCATGAAGATATATTAAACTGTTAGTGGCAGCTTCCGACTACTGATGACGTTAATTAAATGCACAAAATACCTTATGATGTGCTAAGGCTATTAGTGTTGGAATATTTTCAGTATTCTTCGTTATTCCACATCATGGGAAATTTGTCATTGTAGCGTTATCGCATAATTGAGGGGAATTCCACCGTGACATCGTTTAGTTTCGATTTTTTGGTTGACATTGTTGATGTGGAGGACAGAGTTAATACATTCTATGAGTGGGGTTCTTGTTTAAGAGTTAAGACTATTAAATTCTGATTTTTATCATATAAAATTTCTAATCAATCAGAAGATAACTTCTAATCAATTATTTATTCTCATGTGACTCGGATTTCAGAATAATTACTGAACGCATTTTCGTCAAGACTACGTTCAAATAGGATTGTCTCACAATTATCTCTGCAGGCTAACTTGGTCACACCGTGCATTATTCTTGGGTATACCTTTTAGGCTTTGGAAGAATAACATGGCTCTTAGTGGTCTATTGACTCTTTAATTTTTTACACGACAGTTTATTTTATTTGACACATTTTTTTGCAAACAATAGTTAATATAAGTTGGGTTGGGGTTCATCAAAGTTAAAGCACGCCTTATGACTCGAAATGTATCTATTGTTCAAATCTGAGATTGCATCTTTTTGGAATGAGTGATGACATCTTTACTAATGAAACCAACATTCATTAGCAGTTTATTTGATGATTTGATTCATATATTTAGTCATACGTAATGATTTGATTTATTAAGATAACAATAAACAAAGAGAGCTATTATTACCCTTAAAATATAGTTTAATTTAAGAGAATCGAGATGATGAGAAACCCTTTATAATAAAAAAAATTCTGATATTACATTAATAACTTGTCTTACTGGAAACTTATTTTAATATCTGACAATGCGTGCATATGAGGAAGGGAACTCAAAAAAAGGGCAAATTTTATAACGTAAATTATATACAGAGAAAAAGAATGTCATCTTGCAAAAGACAAAACTATATTTTGACCCCGGGGGAGGGGGAAGACAGCTGTATGTGACAGGTTAGTAGCGGAAGTTAAACCCTTCACGTGTAACTATAAAAGGTCTGCAATGTCTATGAACCTTTGTGTCTCTGTATTTTGTATGATCTTGAAGGATTTGATGATACAGCATTTTGCCCCACGTCATGGTAGGTATCACTGAGACGATGTGAGACAGGACAAGAAACACAGTTTCAAACAAAGCCCATGATGTATGATCTCAAGGCAAAAGCCAAGTTCACTGGGACAACTCAAGCAGCAACGAAGTTAGAAGCCAAAAGCAGGGCAAATTGGATGACAGACGCACCATCATCTGTACAGAAGGAAGCTACGACGTCGTTGAGCCAGGAGGTTTTTCAGAACCATCCAGGACGATTTCAAATAGATCAGCCTCGGACTCTTCATCAAAATCCACCACTCGATTATTGGCCCCACCATTGTGGCTGCCTTTGGTTGCAGATCGATTCAGCCACTGAGCATCAATTCTTCCCATTGAAAACAATTCCTTGCTGTCGTCGTAGCCGAGGGTATTGGCAGGGGAATTTACAAGAGGGGCTACAAAGCATGGATTTGGTGTTCTTTGTGCATTCGCAGGTGCATACTTAAATGCACTTTGTCCAAAATTTACTGATACTAGGATGTCGATATTTGCAGCCAATGTTGGATATAGCGGAGTCCCAAATTCCTCTGACTGACAGTGAATTACATGCACCAACTCTGAGTCCAACGTGAACAAAACTTTCTTCTGCCTCGGATCAAACCCACACCCTATCACCTTATCACTTCCTACCCATTCTGCCTTATCGGACTCGAATACCAGCTTCATTCCTGAAACGACAAGCCCAACACCAAGTCACATGTACGTGTCTCGTTACTCGAAAGAAATAACATATTCCAATAGAAAAACCATTTTCTGAGGGTAACTGTGCCAGTGTGAGCGTGATGTGTCAGCAAGTTCTTTTTTTTTTCTTTTTTTTTTTCTGAGAATAGCTTCAAATAAACAAAAATGTCGCTATTGGTTCTGTTCATGGTCGTGTCATTATACTGTGGGTTCTGCAACATTTCCTGTGGTCCTATCATAGTGTTAATCTTTTAAGTGAAAAATGTGAATTGAGTGGGTTTATGATGTTCCCTTCGTAACACATCAGTGTGAAACAAATTTTATCACTGTCACCTACAGACCCTGTCCTCTGTTCTGCAAATATTAACCAAAAGAAATAGGATGAACTCCGACTATGAACGCCTCGTTGAATTGGTGAAAGAACACAGAAAGCCAGAAGAAGAAGAAGAAGAAGTTAAGAGCAGTTAATTTACCATCAAGAGAGACAGAACCGTTGGAATTGAAGCCGATGCTCCCAGGATAGCTACCGGGAACTCTCAAAGGAACAGAGCCTCCCGCTGTTAACCCCAAAGAAAAAATCACAGAATCGTTCTTTTTACCATCAAGTTTGACCTCTTCGACATTGTTAATTTTATGACTACCGATAACATGGACCAAAGCCTCCGATTTCCCTTCCTGAATGAGTTTAGTCTTCTCGCCTTCTCTGTTCTTCCCAACCGATTCATAATCTTCCCCACGAGTATACAGAATGGTAATTTCAAAATAGGCCTCTTGAGGGAAGGAATGGTTTCCCAGAGGAGGGCCGGGAAGAGGCAGAGCCGTCCTGATCACCGAAGCAACAGTCGAAGAAGGATTGTTTGGATGAACCCTTTTAAGCCCAGGATTCAATCTTATCTTCTGCATAAAATCGGCGGATCCCTGACTCACTTCCCAGGTCAACTCGACCTCTGTTTCTCTTCCTTGATCACCCGCTGCACACACTCCCAAAAGGGTCGATCTTTTTGAAGGAGACGACATGTGGGTCTTGCAGGCCGTGAAAGCAAATCGAGACCATCCGTTTTCCACAGCATCGGCGGCCAGATAGGGATGATCAGCCCAACTGAACAAAGGCCTTCCGGAGATCCCACGATGAAACACAAAATAATTGCCCCTGTTCTTGGTTCCCTGATCAAACGAATGATGAACACTGGATTGTTGGGGGAGATGCTGGGGATGGAGCCTATCAGTGGCTGCTTGGAGGCTCGTCATTCTGGTGAGACTTCCCGGCTCGACGAAATTCCTTCCCTTTCTGCGATAACACCAACGCAAAACAAAAACCAACAAAAGGGTTGAAAGACATCCGACGGTGGCTGCCACCGTTGCAATATTCACCCGTTCGGTCATCTCTTGTTGTGACGGATTTCTTTTCCTATCAGATTTTGATGCATAGATTGGTTTTGGAGGACTTGTCGTGAAGAAAAAAAAGAATGAAGGAAGGAGAAAAGTGGAGGCTGTGGAAGGCGTGGACCATAAGACTGGTTCAATTAAGGCATGCAGGAAGAGAACTCAGCTTACTGTGTGTTACCCGACAGTAAAAAGGGCGGCAGCGAATTTTCTGAGACCAAGACTTGATTGTGATTAACCCCTAACTACAATTTAATGCATACGAACCGACAAGCTCTCGTTCATAAGCCACGAACGCGTTTTCTTCGTTTGCACTGTTTGGGGGGGTGGCTTGTGGAATTTCCTCCCACGGAAAAAAAAAAAAAAAAATCATCTAGAGAAAGAGGCTTATGTAGAAGTAGAAAGCTAACGGTCTATCTGTAATTAGTAGAGATGACTTCGTCGCGAGCACTCCTGATTATGTTGTTCTTTGACATTATTATCACTTTCAACATCTGTTTTCCTCCTCTTAGTTCTCTTTCTTTTATATGGTTGGGTTGGACGATACTAAGTTAATTCCATTTTAATTAAACTAATCCTTGACTGATTTCATCAAAACTTGTTTAGATTGACTTGTCATCAATGGGATAAGTTACATAAAATCTGTGCACATTCAATTTGGTACACGTATATGTTAGACGTGCGTGTATCCGATTAATTAGAATCTGAAGATTAAAAATTGCACATCATTTCAATTTTATATTTTACATATTAGTTATTCGATCATATTTGATTAATCACGTTTTTGAGATTCCTTTCATGTGCTTTCTGTGTAGTTCAAAATCTTCACTTGCATTGTTGGATTATATTTATAAATTTTTTTTAGGTAGATTGTCTATGAAATCGCTTCTTTATATTAAAAGGTTTAAAAAAAAAAATGTAAGTTATTAACTTTATATGTTTATGATATTTGTTTTTAATTAAATTGGGACTATTGTATTTTCTAATCCATTTACACTCTAACTAACTTTTTTTTTAATACAATACACTCTAACTAACTTTTGATATCGATACTTTTATTTTTTTTATTTTAAATTCACTCATCTTTATTACTTAAAATTTGAAAGTGCTCCATTATTTTCATTATGAGAAAAACTATCATATACCTTATTTGTTTTATAACCAAAACTATAAATTTTAAAAAGCATTTATTGTATTTTTTTAATTTGTCTCTCATAAATAGATAATATCATAAGAAAATGATATTAAAATCCCTTTGAATTATCTGAATAATATTTTGATCCTTCAAAATGTCATAATTTTTTAAAGTTCTTAAAAAATTTTCTGTCAAGAAGGAATTAATGTAAAAAATTAAATTGTCCTTAATTAAAATAAAAATCTCAAGCCTCAAAACATATACTTGCGAATTGCTGTTGAATTCTTATAAATTTAAGAAGAAAAATTGTAAATATTAGAACAAAATTTGTGAATGACAATTGATATTTACAATATTTAAAGAATATTAGAATTTTAAATGTGAACTTACGAATTGTTATTGAATTCTTGCAAATTTAAGAAAAAAAGTTATGAACATTGAAACAAAACTTATGAATGGCAATTAATATTTGCAATACTTAAAGAATATCAGGATTTTAAATGTGAACTTATGAATTACTATTGAATTCTTGCAAATTCAAAAAAAATTGTAAATCTTAAAATAAAACTTGTGAATGATAATTAATATTTGCAACACTTTAAGAATATCAAGATTTTAAATGCAAACTAATGAATTGCTATTGAATTCTTGTAATTTAAAAAAAAATTATAAATCTTAAAACAAAACTTACAAATTAAGGTCACAGAATATCTATTATGAGAATTGGGATTTTCATTTCAATCAAGGATAATTTGATCTTTCATATTAATTCCTTGATAATAGAAAAGTTTTTGAAAATTTTAAAAAAATTATAACATTTTGAGAGATTAAAATATTATTTACATAATTTAAAAAAATTTTATTATCATTTTTTTTTTCATATCGTTGATATGAAAAAAATAAGCATTAATTACATAAACATTTTAGTTTATATTTTTTATTTTAAATATAATTATTAATATTAACTTTTTTAAACTATGTGAATAAGTTAAGATTTGTTTATATTGAAAAGTAGAAACAGTAGTTTTGACTTTGGCATATAAAATTAAATATTTAATTTTTCTTGTTTCTTTTTACATTTAAATCTTCTGAAATTAAAATTGATAAATTTTTGTGATATTTTTTAAGAAGGGGAGGAAATATTTTATATTTTATAAAAAATAATAAAATAAAAAAAAAAAGTAAAAAATGAACTTCACAGAAATTCATCAACTTCAATTTCAAATGATTTTCATCGCATGCGGATAGGATGAGGGTAAAAATAAAGTAAATCAAGAATTAGTCCAGTCACAATCAGTTAAACAGAAAACTACGCTGCAATCACCGACACTTTCGATAATCCAACAGAAAAATTTATGTTTGCACTGTTTCTCGTGGTCTGTTTCGATATAATTCAATTTTTTTTTTTGGGAACTCTCGCTAAATCCGATGGCCATTATTGTTGCATTGCATGGTCCATGGTGGCTTCTAGCCAGTGACCATTTTAATTATTAAATATCATGACTTATGGGACGGTGCAACTATATTGTACTCCAAAACACTTTCACATGTTATTCTTGTCTTATTCCATCCCTCACTTGTGCCACCCCCAAATCTTATCAAGCGGAGCTGGCACAATTGTACTGTACAAGCACATCACCAGTTCTTCATTCGTCCCTTTTTTGTGCTTCTCTTTTCTATTTATTTAATACCAACCATGCCACACATTTCCATACGTATTCACTATTCAATATTTATAAGTGCGGTCTTTACTCCATTATTATTAGGGGTAAGCATCAATCAATCAATCTAATGTTAAAATGTATAAAATTGATTGATCAAATAACATTAAAAATATGAATAAAATTTAACTAAACAATAATCAAATTGAATTAAACAAATTGGTTCACATGACTAATTTAATTTTGGGTTTTATGCGAGGCTATTTAAATTTAGGTCAATTTTATTTTTTTTATTAAAATAAATAAAGCTTATATATAAAATTAGACTCGTAAAGTAATAACATCTCATTTTAATAAGAGATTAGGATTTCAACTTATCAAATTATATGTTTACTCTTATTTAATTATAAAATTAAAAAATAAATAAAATAAAGTAATTAAAAATTCAATATAATTTATATAATAAATTATATATATACATGATAATTCGGTTAGTTCGGTTTATTTAAATTTAGATTTTAATAATCAAATCGAATTCGTTAACTGAAATATTTTTTTTAAAAAATCAAATCAAATAACAAAAATTCAATTTCACTCGATTTGATTTGGGTTTGATTAAGTTTTGCTTACCCCTAATTATTATAAATTCAATCTCAATTTTAGTGGACGGTCTCAATTTCAGTTGCAGACTTACGAGTCTTTTCTCTTCAAAAGTAGACTTTCTCGTCACTGCGTTTTTCATAAATTTTCAGGTTGTTAAACGATCGGTGTCGTCTGGGCCTTGATTAGATCCAAAACAAACTGGAGCTAGGAGTAGTAAAGGAGCAATCAACCCTATAATTGATAATCATTCTCTTACCAATTATTAATTTTTATGACGGTACATCATTGTACGCCCTTTTTTTTTTCCTCTCTTTGGATTGATGCAGCTGGGAAAAGAGGCGATCATTATTTAAATCATTATGACTGGTGGCTTTTACATTTAGTGTTGCAGGGTACTTAATTATTACATCTCGTTAGATCATAATATCAACCCAAGTGCCTTGACCAATAGGAGTTTCAGGATCGCGTGCCCTTGCTAATACGTTGACAAACTCGAGTAAATTTATTATAATCCGAATGACGTGTAAATTGGCGATTAATCCAATTGCAAATGACAATATTTCAATGGAACTTTCAGAATTTTCCAAATAATGTTAAAGAAGGAAATTGATTATGAATTGTGTGTGGCTATGTGAAAGCGTAAAATCAAAGAACGACCACAAAAACGTTGAAGCAGGAATTGAAGATGCCAAGAGGATGTCGTAAAGCAAATTGACGCCACAAATTGACGCCACAAGTCAAGAACTTTGCGTTCTTTTTTCGGAATGAACAGCGAGTTGGATTTGGTTCCTTTTAAGAAATCTAGCAAGAATTTTGGTGTTCTATTTTATTCCCTGGTGGACGCGGGTGCTATATATGCCGTCCTTGTCATGGTGGGGAATTATGGGTAATTCTCATTCCCTTGACCAATAGTATAGTTCTTCTGAGTTAAACTCAACTCAGTTAATCTTGTTGAGTACTAGGATCAACTAAAAGAAGGATGATAGAGATGAAAAAGTGAGGGAAATTAAATGGGAGGCAATGAGTAGCAAGTCAACCGAAACAGGGAAGGCGAGCACTCTTGCCTTAAAAGATGAACCGAGACGAGGAGGGAAAGATAAAGGGAACAAAAACGATCTTTTTGTTGAAAAGCAAAAGGGAAAGAAAGGGTAAATGGGTATGACTAATGATGAGGCCAAGGGCATTTCAATGCAGAATGACAGGGCAAAATAACATATAAGTAAGAGCTCATGATCTGGTTTGTCCCTCGTGTTGCTGACAAAGAGTTCTCTCTGAGGATAAGTTAAACCGTTTGTGGAAGTTTGCTTGCAATAAAGGGCCCGATCGATGGGCTCTTCAACAGCCAAAAACGACGTGTCACGCATGCGTCAGCACAACGCCTCTTCTCTTCATGGGGTATTTACTAGAGTGCTAGGCATTAATGTGTCAGTGTCTGTTGGTAATAATATTCTGGAGGTGCATGCCATGCTTTAAAAGCGTCGTGTCCTGATATAGCCATAAACTTCAATTTCTGCTATGTTCACTATATGGCGCCTGCTGCTTTCTGCTGTATATTAATATTTTTAGGAAGACTATGAAGATCTGATATTCACTTGAGAATAGCGAGACTCAAATTAAAATGTAGATAAAATTATATATTGGGATGGAAAGAATAAACAGAAATAATTAAAGTCCCATTTGGTTATAAAAAAAAATGAAATGAAATAGATTAAAAAAATCTATAAAAAATGAATTAAATTACTTCTATCCTCATGGTAAATATAATAAAATTTATTAATATATATTACAAATGTAAAAATCATCACACTCTCCAAAAATTTTGTGGATCATAATTTTCAATCCCATGAATTAAATTACCCCTCCCACTTACAAATGTGCTCACCTACCCTTTTGAGCTTTTTATTTTTATTTTTATTT